AATTACAGCAGTCCTTATAACATTTCTTGCAGTGCTGGTTTGGTGTTAATATATTCCCTTAGCCCTTTTTTTGGTCTGGAAAGCTCATTGTTTGACCTTCTATTTTGAATGATAGCCTTGCTGGATAGAGTAGTCTTGGATTCAGAACCTTGTTTTTCATGACCTTGATTACCTCATGCCATTCCTTTCTGGCCTGTAGTGTTTCAGTTGAGAAGTCAGCTGAGCGCCTTATGGGGTTTCCTTTGTAGGTAACCTGTTGCTTATCTCCTGCTCCCTCTAGGATTCTCTCTGTGTCCTTAATTTTTGGCATTTTAATTACTATGTGTCTTGGTGTGGGCCTGTTTGGGTTCTTCTTAGTTGGGGCTCTCTGTGCTTCGTGAAGTTGAATGCCTTTTTCCTTCACCAAATTAAGGAAGTTTTCTGTCACTATTTTTTAAAAATATATTCTCTAACCCTTGCTCATTTTCTTCTTCCATGACTCCTATGATGCGAATATCATTATGTTTCCAGTTGTCTCACAGTTCTGTTAAGCTGTCATCCTGGTTTTTTTTTTTTTTTATTTTTTTTTCCTTTTGGTTTTCTGATTGATTGATTGATTTCTACCTGTCTTCTAATTCACTGATCCATCCTCAGCTTCCTCTGCTCTGCTATTTAGTCCTTCCAATGTGTTCTTTATTTTTGCTATGTCATTCTTCATTTTTTCTTGGTGGTTTTTCATTTCCAATTGGTTGATTTTCAGTGTTTTTATGCCTTTACTCATGGTGTTGATGCCCTTTCTCATGCTGTTGAGCTTTCTCAAGATCATGGCTCTGAATTCTAGCTCTGTTAACTTGTTTAACTGCATTTCATTTATCTCATCTTCAGTAGAGGTCTCTTGTTCTTTCATTTGCATTTTATTTCTGTAGTTCACTATTTTGGCTATCCCAGTGGGTTTTGGAGCCTGCCAAATTTTTTCCTGTGGGTGTTGGTGTTCTGCTGTTTGTGGCTTCCTCTACTGGGTTTGGATGAGCATGGGAGGACCCACGGTACACATGACTGCCAAGTTTTACTTTCCTGGGTAGGGTTGCAAGCCCAGGAATGGTTCAGTTATCCTCTAGCTTTTTGCCTGGAGGCTAGTAGTTGTGGTTACTTGAAGAGCCTTGGGCTGTCTGTTGAATGAAAAACTCCCTCAGGTGTTCCACATAAGGGGATTTCCCTAGGGTGGGACAGTTGCTGGTTGTTAATGAGCATCAATTTGCATTTCAATGGCCCACCTAGGTGGGGTTGAATCTCTGAAGGAGGGGCCGCCACCTCTCCCCAGAGCCCTGGGAAGGAGTAAGATGGCCATAGTCCTGCATGGCGTCAACTCAGCAAAATCTCTGAGTGCCCTCCAAATCCTGAGTGTCCCCACTCAGTCCCCGTCTAGTCCACCCTCCCTCTGCTGGAGCCCAAGGTGAGTGGCTGTGGCTGTTTTAGTGCTCTGTCCCAGCTCTACGCTGTGGAGCGGGCTTGGGAGTTTATCCCCAAGGGCCCTGCTCACAGCTAAGACCAGTGTTGTCTGTGGGCTCCCAGCCCCCCTCTCACACCTATGCAATCCTACCAGGATTGATTCAGTGTCCCTGGTTATATGGTCCTCGCAATCTGCTTTTCTGTTGCTTTTTCTCGACTATTTGTCTTTATTTTAGTTTTAATTCCAGTTTGGACCTTGGAGATGGTCTTTGTAGCTTCCATTCACTCTGCCGCCATTTTGGAATCCCTTATTTTATTTTTCAAAACTATTTTTTACTAGGATCTCTGTGCTTGTTGAACACTCTACAGTTTCTCAAACCTTAGCGTCAGATTCAGTACAATCACCCATATTTCCTGTTCCACATTGATTTTTCACACACTTCAGTTTTTTTCACAGCAACTCTCCTTTGCACACATACAACAAAATCAAAATGAATGTAGCACAACCTAATGTTACAGCTGTGAACTACCTGGGGCTAATAGCATACATGTGTCTAACAGATACTATGTATCATTGTTTTTCTCTTGAAAATTATCTCATGGACCCTTCTGTGAGTTTTCCACAGTGCTGTGGGATACTTTTGCACACTGGCTAGGAACTGTAGTCTTACACTTTATTTAACTACCAAGCTGGTCCTTGAGAATTAGCCTTTGTCTCATCTTTTCTCTTCACCTGAGATGTCCCATATTTCTATATTGAGGGTATATATTCATCTTTTAAGATACAGCTTAAGTGAAATCTTCAGTTTTTATCATTCTTTTGGTATTATTGCCTTTAAAGTTCTGTGTAAAGTATTTTTCTCTATGGACAGGTTTTGCAGCAACTTACAAGAACAGAGTAATGTGTATTTTGATTGTGTTTTTTTTGCCCTTGAAGGGGTTTTTGTTTATTTTTTTATTTTATTATTTATTTTTTATCCTCACCCGAGGACATTTGTTCCATTTTTTGTTCAGATAGAGTGGGAGGGAGAGAGAGAGAAACATCGACGTGAAAGGGACACGTCGAGTGGTTGCCACCCACACGACCCAACCAGGGCCAGGGACAAACTGCAGCCGAGGTACATGCCCTTAGCGGGAACCGAACCCGGGTCTCTCAGGACCGCAGGTCAATGCTCCAACTGCTGAGCCAAACTGGCCAGGGCTTGTTTATTTTTTTAAATCCATCTTTTTATTGTGCTGTCTAGTAAAGTAGCTATCAGCCATGTGGTTATTTAAATTAAACTAATTGAAATTAAAGAATATTAAAACATTATTTTCTCAGTTGCATAGTCACATCTAAATGTTCCACATGTAGCTAGTGGCTATTAGACTAAGCAGGAACAGAACTGCAGGAAGTTCTGTTGATTGCTTCCATTGAGCAGCACTGTATTGACTTTTTCAGTTTTCTTTACTCAGGTTCTTGGAGTGCCGGTTCTATCTTTGGTTATATATTGACTCTCACTCTTGTGGTCTTTGTTGTGGGAGAACCCTACCTGCTTGAGTTTTGGAACTTTGGGCTATGCACCTGCATAACATATAGGGAGACTTGTATTGTCCTCCTACATTTTGAATAGTGACAAGCATTTATAAGACATTAACATTTTTTTTCTGTCTCCTTTAGCTGATTTTTATAGGTTGATGCAGCAACTTCCATTCTGATTCCTAGACTCATGCTGGCCTGAGACCTCCTTTTTATTATTGTATATGGAATGTGAACCCCAGCTCCCTAGTCATTGCTAGGTCTCATCCCAACCTTCTATCCCTGTATTTCCAACCTTTCTCCCGACCATCCATTCCCACCTTAGGCTGCCTTAGTTTAAGCACTAACCAATCTCGCTTTCAGTTTCTCTTCCTTTTTGCTTCTGGAGATCTTTCTTTCTTTCTTGAAAGTTCAGCTCTGTAACAGAAAGTCTTTGGATTACATTTAACATTTTTCTCATTATCATAATCTATGTTCATTATAGGTTAACAGCTAGATAAATTTCCCATAATCCTGCCACCTGAAAACTAGGTTAACCACCATTAACATTTTGTTATAGATCTCTACAACTATATTTTAATATGTGTATAATGCTTATAATTAGATAAGCATATTATATGCATATGTGTGTATACATATTTATGTGGTAATACTGCTTAACTTGTCCTTTTCAGTCAACATTAGCATCTTTTCATGACAGTAGACATATCTAAACCTTACTTTTTTCTTGTACATGGGATTATTTTCATTTTGTAAACTTTGGTTAGATTTAGCGTGTTTCTTGGTTTGTGTTTCAGTTTCTCCTGGACAAGTATAAAGTATACTACTAAGTTATGTTTCTTTTATATGTTCCCATTTATTCTTGATCTACATAAATGATAATTTTTCATATACATGAATTATATTGGGAATCGCTAATGTGAGGCAGAGAAAAAAAGTTACTCTGTTAACGAAGCCTATCTTCTATAAGTTCAAATCGATATACCTTCCCTTTGTAGCAAATGTACTAATAGCAAATTTTAATAATACTGCAAATGAAAATAATTTTAATTTTAAAGCAAGTTATACCAGATATTTTTGACTTGCTGATGGCAATGCTGGCATGATTAATTTAACTTTACAGTAAAGAAACCTGAATTTTACTACACGTTGAAATTTTCTTCTTTAGTAATTGTATATGGATTGAAAGAACAATTATTAGTTAAAGGAAAATATAAACGCCTAGAATACCAAGAGTTTATGTACTTAATCCTAATACAAGATTAAACTTCAGTTTATTTTAACTTGGATGCCAATGATAATGCCAGTGGGAAAATATTTTACATTTTAAAACACCTTATACTTGGTAAAGTACTTTAACTAGCATTCAATGTTAAATCATTCAAGGGAGCCCTTATCCCAATTTACAGAAACGAATTTGCCCAAAGCCAAATACTTTTTTTTTTTTAATTTTAGAGAGGAAGGGAGAGGGAGGAGAGAGGAGAGAGAGACAGACGGACATCAGTTGCCTCACACACATCCCAACTAGGGATGGAACCTGCAATCTGGGCATGTGCCCTGGGTGACAAGGAATCAAACTGGCGACGGGGTGACACTCAACCACACCAGCCAGGGCCAAAGCCAAAGATGTTTTTATTGATTTTTTTTTTTTTTTAGAGACAGAAGGAAGAGAGAGAGAGAAACCTTAATGTAAGAGAGAAACATCAAACATTGATCTGCTGCTGCCTCCTACTCGACCCAGCTCAGTCCACTGAGCTACACTGGCCGGCTAACGTCAAAGACTTTTAAGGCTACATACACAATTGTAGTTATTCAAGCTGATACTCAAAATGCTTTCATTTCTTATAAATTGGGCACTGAGTTTGTTTTGTTTAGGTCAGGTCAAGGATAATGTTCTTACGTTTTTAAATAACTTTATATGAGCAGGATTCATCTCATTATTTGAAGCAGCAATGCCTTTTTGCTTATTTCAACTTGAAAAATACAGACTAAAAAAATAATGATTTCTGAAGCAGTCATTTTATTTTTAACTCTTCTCTCAATTTCTTAACAGATATTTGGAACAAAACAGGAGCTGTTAAGTTGGTCAAATGGTCTCCTGACAATAGTGTTGTAATAGTGACCTGGGAATACGGAGGCCTTTCTTTATGGAGTGTGTTTGGCGCTCAGCTGATTTGTACACTTGGAGGAGATTTTGCGTGAGTCAATAAAGGCAGATTTTAGATAAAATAACTCCACTGTCTCTCAGATAACACACACACACACACACACACACACACACACACACACACACAAACTTTATGACATATGGATACCCTTTTGCCTTATTTGATTTACCCCATACCCCAAAAACAATTTATAAGGTTCGGAATTAATTTGTTTAGAATGTGTTGATCCCACAGCATCCATCCTCTTAAAACGTACTGTTTATTCAATAAAAATGCAGTTATTTATTGAATCCCTGTTGTGTATGTGATAGCATGTTAGAGTAAAGGCTAAATATGGTTCTCTTCAAGTAGCTTATTATTTAATAAGTGTGGTAAGCTATACATTTAAGTAACTAGTAGGAAGTGGAAAATTGCATTATCTCATTGGGTTAATGTAGGTTAATCCACTGGATTAACATGAGTGGGTTGATATGTCTGCCTACTTCATATACTACTCTGAACCTCAGTCCTGACAAAATGAACATGTTGCCAAAGTGCATGACCCTGTCAAGAAGTTACTTAAGACCTAGAAGACTGTGCCTCTAGTAGACCTAGGTGTATTAAACAGCGTTCTTATATTTCATGCATTATTATGTATTTCTATTTTGAAGGAACAAAATCAATTCGATTTTTTAAAAAATTAAAGCAATATAGTATATGTAATTAGAAGACTCTTTTTAATTAAGTTTTTATTCTATTTTAGTTATAGGTCTGACGGTACCAAAAAAGACCCTCTTAAGATCAACTCAATGGTAAGTACTGTCTATCAGATACTGGTACAGTGTGGAAAACTTGGGTTTTTTCTCATCTTGATCTGATAAAACTACAAAACTATTTTAGTCTTAACAGAATTTCTTATGTAGTTCTTGCTTTGAAAAAAATGGGGATTTTTGTTTTTTTTTTTTAAATCAGGAGGCTGTTCAACTTTTAATATTTGATTTTGGTTTTGCTTAGATGTGTCCAGCAAACCCGTCAGCTTTGTGAACATAGTGCCACAGTGAAATGAGACCATTGTATTTCCTAAGCATACCTCCATTTCTTGTGTGATTCACTAGCACCCACTTCTCATGACCTTCCTTTTAACATAAAATGAAATGCTCATTGGCTGGTTTTCCTGGAGGACATGCACTTGTGCATTATTGAAGCATATTTTAGAACTTTTCCATAAATGTATATCAAGAGAATTATAGTTACTTTTATAACAATATTTTTGTAACCTGTTTTCATGTGTTTCTTCAGAAAGCAGTGAGATGTAACCCATCTTTACATTAAAGCATTTTCTCACTACAGCCCTTCTGTATACCATTTTTGTGGAATTAGTGCTTATGAGTGCTCTACATAGGAGGAAATTTTCTGACCTTCCATTTCTTGAAGAATTAAAACTACCAAGGTTACCTTGAATAGTGGTTTCCAACATTTCACCACCAAGGACCCCATTTGATGTCTAGTCCTACCTTCATATTTTTAAAATAGTTTTTGAACAAATACTGTTTCTGTAAATGCCAGTCAGTGCTCCTGAGTGGCATGCAACAACCAATGCTATCAGTCTCACTATGTTATTTCAGTCACAAACTAAGAATCTAAGCATTTTAGTTAGATTGTGCAACTTTTATCATGGGGAAGCAAAACTTCTATTACACTTTTGAAATTTTGTAATACTTCTTGGACTCCCCGTTACTGTTTTCTTGGCCTTGCAATTGGAAGTCATTAATGTAAAATATATATATATAAAATGGAATTTACTTACAGAATATTAAAATTGACTGGGCCTGGAGAATTTATTTGAACTTCCCATTTTACAGAGGAAGAAACTTATATGCTGAAAAACCAAATACGTTGGCCAAGCTGGAATGGAAACCCTAGTCTCATAGCTTCCAATTTATTGTTCTTTGCTCTATACAAAACTGCACCTGTTTTGGGTGCTTTTTTTTTGGTCAAGTTTCAGGTAGGTTAAATGGGTCTTCCTCTTTAAGGAATTTCTTTGTATATGAGAGTCAGAGAAGAGTTAAGATTGGTATATAGTGTTCACTATTATAGGTAGTTTCACTTAGTGGTAGTTTCCACTAAGATTGCTAAGATGTAGTAGATGTAGGTATTTGTAGTAGATTCAGATTCTTGTCTGTGTTGTCAGTTTCTCTAACCTTCACAAGTCATTAATAATGCTGTTGTTGTTTATTTCATAATTTGAATATATGAAGCTAGGAAAGGATAACAAGAAACTTTTTATTGTTTTTCCCCCCTTTTCCTTCTCTTACTCCCTCTTCCTCTTTCTCTTAAGAGCTGGGGTGCAGAAGGCTATCATCTATGGGTAATCAGTGGATTTGGTTCTCAAAATACTGAAATTGAGTCTGAGCCCAAGAGTATAGTTAAACAGCCTGGCATTCTGCTATTTCAGTTTATTAAGAGTGCACTCACCGTAAACCCTTGTATGGTAAGTTTATTTAATTAAAACTGTTTTGGGGGGGATATTTTTAAGTGACTTTCATATTAGAATCAGACTCTTCTTATGACACAGATGTGTTGAATATACTCTTACAATTGGCATATTATCTTCTTTGTATATTTTCTCTAATTTTGATGTGTTTATTTTTAAATTTCTATTAAATTTATGCCAAAATTTTATTTCCAAGCAGGTTTTTTTTTTTTAAATAGGATCACAAGCAATTTGGTGAAAAGCAGTGTTTACAGATTTACTTAAATAACTTGAATAAAATTTAGTCTTTATCTGAATAGCATTTCCCATGGTGTGTTCCTCCAGAAATTATTCGAAATATCAATAGCAATTACACAGAATAAGAAACGGTTCTATTGTCATGTAAATGTAAAATAAAGGAGGGAAAACTATAGAGATTTTTTTATTGTAGGTCTCCGGGGTCTTTTACATACTAGTGTTCATTATGAAAATCCAGGAGTTTGTATATAAAAACCAATGTTTCCCAAGCTTACATAACTGAATTTTTAAGGAACGCCTTGAAGAAAATGTGCCTAGGAACCTGCTTTGGGAAGAACTGCCCCAAATTATAATGTCAATTTCTCATGTTTTATTAATCTGAAATAACGTGTGTTAATATTATATATTGTTAGTATGTAATAATAGTATATGTTAGGTTAGCTGTACATATCTAAATATTTGCCACCAATGGGTGGTTTTTTGTTTTGTTTTGTTTTTTTATCCTCACCCAAGGACATTTTTGCATTTATCTTCAGATAGAGCGGGAGGGAGACAGGGAAGAAGAGAGAGAGAAACATTGATGCCAGAGAGACACATCGATTGGTTGCAGTCCACACGACCCCAACTGGGGCCAGGGACAAACCGCAACCAAGGTACGTACGTGCCCTTAGCGGGAACTGAACCCAGGACTCTCTGGTCCCCAGGCTGACCCTCTAACTGCTGAGCCAAACAGGCCAGGGCTGCCACCAGTGGGTTTTTAAAGATTTGGTGCGGTTAAAATTTACAACACATTTGAAGGGATGTGGAAATAGCCTGAATCTTTTATCTTATTACTATAGTTGCAGAATAAGGATCCCCAGAAAAACAAGAATAGAGTATTTCTTTCTCCCCTCATTCCTTGAGTTTTATGTCAAGACATTTGTACTACAGTGGAAGGGTGAGGAGCTCTGGGGTGCTGATCTGTCTGATTTGAATAACCAGTGAAGAATCTGCCCGTGTTTAAGAACACTGCCTTCTAATTGAAAACCAGTAAGAGAAGAAACTGTCTTCTTTGTCTGAATATCTTCAGAACCTGGCATAATTCTTTGCGCTAACCAAGCATTTACCAAGTGATCATTGAATTGTTCTGAACCAGGACCATGGACTTAGACTATCGTTCCTCCTCCCCATGGTTTAAAAGATCCTCCAGCATCGTGTTATCCCCATTCCTGATCCACCCCCTTCCTGCCATATGGGCACATGAGTGAGCACACACACAAACTCTTTCACAAGACATATTTTCTTACCACCATTGATGAGGTATTTTATGTGAAACTGATTTGTAAACTGTAGACAATAAGTAGTTATGGTTAGTTTCAGATGGAAGATCTCTCACAGCGTTGCTATATTGGAATAGTAATAAAAGATACTTCTATAGCAGTTCTAAACCTGGGCATGTTTTGGAATCTGTATGATAAAAGGACTTAAAGATTTTATTTATTTGTTTGTTTGTTTTTAATCCTCACCTGAGGACATTTTTCTATTTATCTTCAGATAGAGAGGGAGGGAGGGAGAGAGGGAGAAACAGATGTGAGAGAGATACATCAACTGGTTGCCTCCTGCTGACCCTGACCAGGGCTGGGACAAACCACAGCTGAAGTATGTGCCCTTGACCAGAATTGAACCCGCAACTCTTTGGTCTGTGGACCAGCGCTCTAACCGCTGTCAAACCGGCCAGGGCTTAAATATTTCATTTACACTGGGAAGTAATCATTAAAATATTGCCTGTTCCTTCTAAATATAACAGTGCATGAGATCATTTTGTAGTCATGTCCTCTGTGAGGAAAATCAACATTAAGATATGTGGTGCATTTCCTATAATAAAACTAAATTGATGTTATTTAACTTACTTTCCCCTACCTAATATTGAGTTGTTTTTATTTCCTTCTTTGCCCCTCTGCTTCCTTTCCCTTCATCTAGAGTAACCAAGAGCAAGTGTTGCTTCAGGGGGAGGATCGATTGTACTTGAACTGTGGAGAGGCCTCACAAACCCAGAATCCCAGGAGTTCCTCAGGACTCTCTAAACCCAGTCGCGAAAAGAGCTCATTCACAGACGAAGGTTTCGAGTCTCAGGGTTTAAGCACTTTACTTGGACATCGGCATTGGCATGTGGTACAAGTAAGTCTTCACTGGCTTTTGACTTAGTCCTTGGTAGGATAACACCTGGAACATATCTTAAATATTTCCTCTGTTGCTTAAGAAAACTGAGAAACTTTTAAACCTTTTTGACTGTCATGTTTATCTTCTGCTTTTCTATGTTCTTGTCTTCCTTTCTTTCCACTTGATGTAGAGCATATCTCCACCTGCTTTAAGTCCATTCGTAGTGAGCAGTTTCAAAAATTGGAAGTTTATATTTTGCCCTCTTACCGAGCAAAACTGTTTATTTTACTTCCAAACTTAAAAAAAATAAATAAGTTTAGCTGTGTAAATTTGCGTAGGCAAAAATGTAGTAATTTCATGGATGGTAACAATACCGATTTAGTATCCTGTGCAACAGCTGACCTTGTAGTCCTAATAGGGACATATTGAGGTTAACTATCTGACTTTAAACCAAAACTGCAGACCTGTGGTCAGTATAGAACCTTATTGTTAATAATTTTGTTATTACTTAATCTTGTTCCAAATTATTCATTCTGATACAACTTTAAATTAGCAGTTTCTTGTAGTAATTCTGATAAATTGGCATTTAATATTAAAATTCTGAATTTTGATACCAAATAAAATTAATTTAGGTAAATCAATAAGCCAAAGTTTCTTGAAATAAACTTTCATACATGGTTTCAAGCCTAAGTGTTTTCTTTCCCCTTTTGATACCAAATGTCTTAGGTGCATCAGTGCCTACTCTTGGATTATTGTTTTAGTCAGTTTCTATTTTCACAATTCTTTGCCTTCTACATTCTGTACTTTTCCCTTACTAGCTCACTTCAGCTCCCTTGTTACTTCCACTCGACTCTGAGTGGAGACAATGAGAGACAAAAGAATGGTCCTTATGTGAAAAATTGAAGGAGGAATATCTCCTACATTGACATGTGGCATACACTAAAATAAAGTGTATTTAACTTACATGAATAAATTCATAAAATCAAACAATGTGCATACCATTTTATAATTAGTAACAATTTTTAAATAAAACTGCATCAACTACTTCCTTGACTAAAATTTTCCACTGCTCCCTTCTCTCCTATAGCCATTTCTCTGCTATTTTCATTTCCCCATACTTTGAACTATTCATTCTACACTGACCTAGCATCAATGCCAGTTCTGCCTAGCCAGGTCTGTGTTGCCAGAGAGCCAAGTAGAGCAGAGGATCAAAGAAGGTAGGTCTGGAACTCAAAAATCCCTCAGGCTATAACAAACATTGACTTTCCTTCCAGCTCAAAAATTCAGTGATTCTGTGATTCTTAGCCATCTATGAAGCATCCCACATTAGAATCATATAACACTGATTTTACAACTTTAGACAAAGTAGGTATTAGCAAGATTCTTCCATTATTCTGTTCTTCAGGTATCTAAAATATTCAGAAAAATGAACATGTTTAACTCTAGCTTTACCTAATTTCTTTCAGTTTTCTTAAAACTAATAAAAATAATGCCAGAGTTGTATTCCCAAAACAATTAAGTTATAATAGACTCATAGAATTTTTAGAGCTGGAAGGACCTTAGAGATCATGTAGTCCAACTGGATTTTATACATGAGGAAACCGAAGCTCAGGGAAGTTAGGTGACTTGCCCAAGGTCACACAGCAGGGTAGTGTCAGATTTATCCTTATCATAATATAAATTAAAGTAAAAGTCTAACCTATTTTAAAACTTAAATACTAAATGTTGAATCATATATGCTGCTGACCTTGAGCTAAAACCTAGAATGTGCCTATTTGGCAGTGTTTTTACTTGGATTTGCTCTCTATTTTGTTTGCCGGCACCCCAGCCACATGAGTCAGTGCAGTGTTGTGGTATGTGGTAGGGTGGTTTACAGTGTTCATGTAATACTAATGCTTTACCTTTCAGGTTCTTTAGCCATTAGTAATGATTCTCTGAAGAAACAGGGTTGCCTGTTTAATTCCCTCTTCTTCAACAGATGCTCTTGATAGGTGCCCATATACTCCATCAGAGTGGCTTTGTTTGTATGCTTTTTGTATAGCTTAGAGTTAATCAGATGAGCTCCAGCTAATTTTGCTGCTCTGTCTATTCCTCATCTAGACTGCTGATGTTTTGTTTGTCTGTTTAAGCCTTAATTTCCTGGTCAGAAGATTTTATGGTCTGTTTTTTCCTTTGACTAAAACATCACAAATTCATACTTGTCAGAGGAGGGTTGGTAGCTGCTGGTAGAGATGGTGCTTTTTAGTTTGTTTCTTAAATTTTGTTTCCCTAGCTACACATTTAAATGATTTTGAAAGTAGTTTGTTGACAGATGGAGCACAAATAATCTAAAATTAAAAACAAAAGCAATGTCAGTATCCTTGTGGTGTTAGTGTATATTCCTTCTATTTGATTGCCATTTATTTTAATACTTAGTATTTTGTATAATACAAACATTTATTTCTGAAAGGTGCATGAATCATCATCATCATCCAGTGTTCTGATGTGTTGGTTTTATAGTTAATCTGGCTAACTGTTTGGAAAGAGTAAGCTTCACAAAATGGAGGAGATGAACACCTACAGTGTGTTTGGGCACTATATTAGGCAGTCAGCAGAGGATTTTAAAAACTATTTTATTTATAAATGATCTCTCATTCCTATATATGTACCAGATGTATTTGGGACAGATCAAATCTTCTAGGAAGAGGGCTCTCACAATCTCACCAGTTACAGATAAAAATAGTCTAGGCAGGAGACAGGGTTTTAGCAGAATGACTTTAAAGGAAGAAATTAGGTTCTTTGGGAGACTGAAGAATCCTCAGATGTTAAGAGTGGAGATTCCATACCCTAGCATTCAGTCTCTCAGTGGTGTGGCATGACTTTTGTGCCCTGAGTATGGAATCCTGACCTGAGTTTCTGCATTAATCAATGCAGAGCTCATTCTAATTAATCAAATGTTACAGTGTTCATGTAATGCTAATGCTTTACCTTTCAGGTTCTTTAGCCATTAATAATGATTCCCTGAAGAAACAAAAGTTGCCTGTTTAATTCTGCATTAGTTTCTGCATTATTCATTAGCTGCCTCTTTCCTTCTGCCTTTTCTTGTTCTCAGTATTAGGGGCAGAGCTCAAAATTCAGGTGGCATAGATCAGTAAAGGTGACCTACTGGGAAAAAATAGAAGTTTTTATTCTCATTTTATGACATCTTCAAGCAAAACTGCATGAGAAATTAAGCACTTCGAATTTTGAAAACAACCATTTGCGGCACCTCATACACTTTAGGAGTTAAAAAGAAGAAATAGTTTTTTCCTACAGATACTCATCAAAGTGTGATCATATGAAAAGATTTAACCTAGGTTCCCATGATTAGAAACTCTTTGTATTGGAATCCACTTTGGGAGTGAGATCCCACCTCATGCTTTACCCACCCACGGGTTTCATAAATACTTAGGAAACACCAAGATATGTGGAGGGGGTCTTTGTAGTGTCATGTGTACTCTAGATACATCCTTCTTCAAGTGACTGTTTTCTTCATCCAAAAAGGAAAATAATTTTGCTTACAGCCGCCTATAAAACTACTTTCAGCTTTTATTTTGCCACCTGATCATTACATTAGATTATCATTGTTCTGAACTAATTTCACCCATCATAGTGAATTTTATAATTGGCCTGAATGGTACAGCATATGCATTGAGGTACAAGTTAAGCATTTTTCAAGCATATATTGTGACACCATTATCTTTAATTCTGTAGGGTAGGCTTCCACAAACCAGCACTGGAGTTAAAAATTTTCTAATGTACTAAAAGCTATTAATGTATTTAGAATTTAGGTTGGTTTACTAGATAATAAGTGAAGTCTAACAAATGGCTTTGTAAATAAACTTTGTCAAGGTTAATGCAGATGTTTTCAGCATATTATTTTTACTTGGTTTTCATTTTGTCTTCATGTTATGCAAAAAAATCTTACTTGATTTGATGACATTTACTTGGCTTTTAAATTTAGCTTTGTTTTTTTGAATATGTAATATTTTTTCTTTGAGTAAAGTGAAAATAAATTTGAATAAATTGAAGATTCTCTTATTCCTGGATCAGAAGATTCTTCCCTTGTTCTCTCATTCTGTTCATTTTCACCCCACATTGATCACATGCTCATGAAAACTACTTAATCAGTAGGCCAGTACAGAGATCACAATCTCTATAAACTTAGAATTTATTTAATCTACGTTGATAGCTCATAGAAGATTTGTTAGGTTTAAAATTCTTGTTAGAGTGATACAAAAACCCTGTGTACAAAGATGTAAGATAACATGAGAAGGTATTTTTATTACTTATGTTGCATAGAAAGAGTTAATATGTGTAATATACTAAAAGTTCTTATAGATGAATACCCCAATAAAAAATAGTAGTTTAGACACAATCTTACATGTATATGGATGTTTGTTTAGAGCTAGAATAAAAACTACCTAATAATCCTGAGCAAGGCTATAACAGGAGAATTTAATTTTGTGCTTTGTACATTTTTATATTTAAATTTTATGAGCATTATTTATATTATATTGTTTTTTAATTCAGAAAATGTAAAAGTAATAAAAAGCAAAAACAATACTCTTGCTGGGGCTCATTTTATTTGGGAATAGTTCAGATCAGCAAGCCCACACTGTGTTCGTCTGCATAATTCTTGGTGGCCCTTGTGGATGCTTCTCTAAAAATCTTTTATCAGTCTGTGTTTACTGAGTGTTGAATATTTAAAACATATAAAAATAGTGTGAGGGGAGGGGAGAAAAGCCTGATGTCTAGAAACTTAAAATGATTAAGACAGGAGAAATATTGGCTGGTATGCAAATAGTAAATTCCAAGTACTCTGCTAATAATACCCATGTTTGGAAGCGCTTCAAACATAGTTATAAGAAAATGAATCTCATTGTGATGTTAATGCTTTAAGGTTCAAATCCATTTCTAAGTCTTACCAAACTGATGTGTTATTTTCTATAGATTTCCAGCACCTACCTAGAGAGCAATTGGCCTATTCGGGTGAGTTATTATTTTGTTGTTGTTACCTGTCATTGGATAGCATTTGCTGCAAAGAGTGTTCTGGGACTTGAGCCTTTCAGTGGATAATTGATAAAAGTAAAAATTTTAATACTTGATTCTTTGTACATTGTTAATGTATAACACCTATAATTTAGTTAAATGTAAGTTGTGTATAAATGTACAGATTTTTAATTTTAGCATTTTACATTTCATTTATTAATCATCTGTTTGCCTGCTGTAATATTAAGCTCTTTATATCTAATAAAGTATATAGGTTTGCACGGAAGAATTTTTAATTTTTTTAAATATTAGTTTTCAGCAATTGATAAGCTTGGACAGAATATTGCTGTGGTTGGCAAGTTTGGTTTTGCACATTACTCTCTACTCACCAAAAAATGGAAACTTTTTGGAAACATTACCCAGGTTAGTCTTTTTGAAATTAAAAACTGATTTCTCAAAGTATAAAAAGACTACAATATGAAATACTACAATGTAAATCAGTTTACTTATTTAGAAATAAAATCAGATATTTAAAAATGTTGGATTATGTCTAAGTTAATTGTGATAAAGTATTTGATACTTGAAGCATTTTGTATTGAGATATTTGGTTTGTCTTTAATTCTCTTCAAAATCAGACACAGTGATTCCAGGTTGAGTTAATCAGATATGATCAGCATAAATTTCCACCAAATTTGAGATCATTTTCCTGCTTGTTTGCATGTGATTGAATATTTGGGTAGCATACAAACAGATGCAGTTGAATTTTGCATGAATCAAATAGGAAAAGTGAGGACATTAACAGTTAATGGGTGACTACTGTATACCAGACACTTCAAGATGTGATCTTCATAACAATCCAGTGAGAGCACTGTTGTTACTTACCATTTAAAAATTTTATTTTCTTGCCCTGGCCAGTTTGGCTCAGCAGTTGGAGCGTCGGCCTGTGGACCAGAGAACCCCTGGTTCAGTTTCTGCTAGGGGCACGTACCAAAAAAAAAAAATTTTTTTTCTTTATTGATTTTTGAGAGAGAGAAAGGGAGAGGGAGAGAGAGGTAGAAACATCGATGAGTGAGAACATCGATTGGCCACCTACTGCATGCCCCTCTGTGGGATTTGGCCCACAACCTGGGCATGTGCCCTGACCAGGAATCGAACCAGCAACCTCTTGGTGTATGGGTTGATGCTCAACCACTGAGTGGCACTGGCCAGGCTGTTACTTACCATTTTTTTTATTTTTTTATTTTTTTATCCTCACCCGAGGACATTTTTCCAATTTTTGTACAGATAGAGTGGGAGGGAGAGAGAGAGAGAGAAAGAGAGAGAAACATCGACGTGAAAGGGACACATTGAGTGGCTGCCACCCGCACGACCAACCAGGGCCGGGGACAAACTGCAACCGAAGTACGTGCCCTTAGCGGGAACCGAACCCGGGTCTCTCCGGACCGCAGGCCAACGCTCTAACCGCTGAGCCAAACCGGCCAGGGCTATTACTTACCATTTTATAAAAGAAACTAGGATTCAGAGTGAAGCAGCTGATAAATGATGAAGCCAGAATGCAAAACAAGGTTTTAGTGTGGGAATATGCTGCATGGTCCCAATTACTTTGAATGATGTATTTTTTGTCTTACAGAAATGTTTGTTTTTTTCAATAGAATATGAATCAGTAATGAAGGCCCTAGAGTAATGCTTAATTGGGAGCATGAGACTAGAGCAGAAATAACTTCAGCTTTCATTATCTGTTTAGATATTAGTGTACTAGTGTATTACTTAATATAATTTCTGGCAGCATAAATAAAGGTAATTTTTTTTATTTTAAGGAGCAAAATATGATTGTGACAGGTGGCTTAGCCTGGTGGAATGATTTTATTGTCCTTGCATGTTATAACATAAGTGACCGTCAAGAAGAGGTAGGTTTTTTCTCTCAAAATCATATTGTTATGTTTTTAAGATATTAAGTGCTATTTGATTTTATATAAAAATAACTTATTGGAAAATAAACTTTATTTTTAATCAAGAATTAGGCATTTTCATTTAATGGGATTTTCATTTCTGGTTATTTAAAACATTTTAAAGGGATGATCAGGACTTCTGAATAACTTTTTAAAATGATTTTTAGCTGTTTGACATTGTCTATAAAGTTACTAAATAGTAAAAAGAATCAAAAGGAAAGTTCATAAGGGTGGCTGTGCTTAGAGATTTATTAATTTATTGATTTGTATGGGTTGTTTCTTTTTTGAGAAATTATTGGTCTCCTTATATCATGTCTAAAGATTCAGATCTAAAAGGAGTATCATTATAGTACATTCACAGTTTGGATCACTTCATCTTTTGATTATTTGTAGAAGGAGCCTTCCTTACTAAAATATAAACCTTATCCGTTTATTATTAATGCTCAGATTAGTCTTTTAACTCCTCTTAGTTGAAAAATGTCAGTAGATAAACAGCATGTCTGAACAGCAGGGATTTGGTCATCTTTGGTAGACATCTTGGTTTTGCAGCTTTCTTTATTTTTGTTTTCTTCAGCTGAGAGTTTACTTGCGAACATCTAATCTGGACAATGCCTTTGCTCACGTCACCAAAGCACAAGCAGAGACATTACTGCTTAGTGTCTTCCGGGACATGGTAATAGTATTTAGAGCAGACTGCTCAATATGCCTTTACAGTATTGAAAGAAAAGCTGATGGGTAAGTCCATAGCATATGACAAGTCACTTTTTGCTGCTGTGTATCGTGTTTCCTCTGTAGTTTTCCTTTTTCAAAACAGTTACCCTAATTTTATGTTTAGTGGGATTTTTGTTTGTTTCAGGAGTTTTTTTAAAAAAAGCAAGCGCCCTGGCCAGTTTGGCTCAGCGGTTAGAGCGTCGGCCTGCGGTCCGGAGAGACCCGGGTTCGGTTCCCGCTAAGGGCACGTACTTCGGTTGCAGTTTGTCCCCGGCCCTGGTTGGTCGTGCGGGTGGCAGCCACTCGATGTGTCCCTTCATGTCGATGTTTCTCTCTCTCTCCCTTCCTCTCTCTCCCTCCCACTCTATCTGTACAAAAAAGAAAAATATTCTCGGGTGAGGATAAAAAAAAAAAAAAAATTAAAAAAAAATAAAAATAAAAAAAGCAAGAAATTTTAATTGGTGACATTCATATGGTATTTTTTAGCTACCAAAATAAGTAAATAAATAATCCTGCATTAACGTCTTCAGGTAATTTTACTGGATTCATTTGAAAAAATTATCTAGTTTGGGATGAGGTAAACCTTTTAGATGCTTTTACACAATCTTGAAAACAAGTGGTTAGTAACTTACCAAACTTACCAATGTGTTCCAGACACTTAGGTAAATTTACAGCGCCCCCCAGCTTTAGGGCCTTAGGAAGTGTGTCTTCAACAGACTCACCTTTTCCGCTGAGCTGGATGGCTGTGGTGTGGGGCAGGAGAAGCTGGCAGTCCTGTTGCTGTTGCATGTTGCTGGCATTCTTGGCATCTGCTTGGCTTACAGCACTTAGATTACACCTCCTGAGTTTTATTTTACTCTCAGATTTTTGTTTCTTTGTTCCTTTTTAAGCATCCAGGAAGTGTGTATTTGGTGAAATAGCATAGTAATTGAGGAGTAATATGAAGATAAAAATAAAGAAATCTTACTAACCTAAATAGAACCTATATCCTTCCTCAAGCAGCTAATCTAGTCTTATAGCTTCTTCCCTTTTACATCTTATTCCCATTTTTTCCCCCTCATCTCCACATGTTCTTTGGATGCTTCAATCTTGTCGTCTATTGTTTAAAGGGTACTTGGGGAGGAGGGAACACTAAGTAGAAGGCATTTGGGTCCTCCATAAGTATGAAATCTAATACTGTTAGTAGTGGGCTGTGGGGGAGCAACCTTGTCAGCATTGTTGTTGAAGCGTGTGGGTTTCTTCTTTTTTTTGCAGTCCAAATACTACTGCCGGTATCCAAGTTCTTCAGGAAGTCTCCATGTCACGCTACATTCCTCACCCCTTCCTGGTAGTATCTGTCACTCTGACATCAGTGAGTACAGAAAATGGAATCACCTTGAAAATGCCACAGCAGGTACCATTCTATTATGAGCTCTTTAGTATTTTCATCTTAGTTTTTAATTTTTTTAAGTTGATATTAAGAACTATTTATTTGTTCCAGTAAATAAATACTTAAGTGTCTAGAATGTGCCTTGTATGTAGATGCTGAGTTATAGTGACAAACTAAACATGATTTCTGTTCAACAATAAAGAAGTGATTACATATATATGTAATTATCATTGTGATGTGTGCACCAAAAAGTAGTACAGGTTACTCGGAGTGTATAACAAAAACCTGGAGTAGTCTAAACAATCAGAGAGGATTTCTGCACTATTTTATTTGAAACCTGAAGAACAGGTGGGGTTATCTAAGTAAAGAGGGGGAATTTCAGGCAGAAGGAACAGTGCAAAGGCCCATAGATAAGAGAGAACATGACATGTGCAGGGAATTGGAAGAGTTTCAGAGTGACTGAAGCATAGAATGTCAGAACATGAGACCTATTGATAATACAGACTCAGACTTTATCTAAAGTGTTTTAAGCTTTATAACATTTACTCTAACTATAAGGAGGAAAATGAACTGCAAAAGGACAAAACTGGATTAGGGAGAGTAACTGGGAGACCATTGTAATGATCTAAGTGAATTGCATTAGTGGCCTTTGGGCAGTGACAAAAAGATGGAAGAAGTAGCCTGGCCGGTTTGACTCAGGAGTCAGAGCGTTGTCCTGCAGACCAGAGAATCCCGGGTTTGGTTCCCGCTAAGGGCACGTGCCTCGGTTGGTGTCACGTGGGTGGCAGCCACTCGGTGTGTCTATCTCATATCGATGTTTCTCTCTCTTCCTCCCTCTCTATCTGAAGATAAATGAAAAAAAAAAAAGATGGAAAGAAGTAGAATGAATATAAAGTTTAGAGGACTCCATTAGTTAATTATGAGGAAAGAGAAAGGAAAATGCCATAGTTTCTGGTTAAAGTATGTAGTGCTGCCACCAGTACCCAAGTTGCATAACTTCTATTCCAAGGCACCTTCAATTAAACCAATGGTTTTCAAACTTCATGTTAATATGGAACTCATTTTCATAGGAAAATTCTATGTAGATTTGTCATCCCTATCTGCTCAGTCTGTCTTTTGCTTCCTATTAAGGCACTTTCATTTAATGCCTTTAAAATATAGGTCCCATTTCCTCTGCAAACTATATTTTATGGTAACCAGATAATCCTAGTTGATAAGGGAAAGTTCTGTTTTGCAGATGAATTCTAGGTAAAAGATGGGGAAGAAATGTAAGGAGTAAAGAATCACCTGAGGAAATAACTGATTTGGGCAGTGGTTATTGTTAGATGAACACATCAGATGAAGGTTGGTGGGGAACTTTACAGTGAAAGAATGAGGTGGTCATACCTTAGTCTTATTAATAAATCTTATCATCAGTCCATCTGGTGTGGCTCAGTGGTTGAGTGGCAACTCATGCACCAAGAGGTCACCAGGTCGATTCCTGGTCAGGGCCTATGCCCAGGTTATGGGCCCGATCCCCAGTGAGGGGCATGCAGGAGGCAGCCAATTGTTCTCTCTCATTGATATTTCTGTCTCTCTCTCCCTCTCCCTTCCTCTCTCTCTAAAATCAATAAAGGAAAAAAATTTTTTTTTAAATCTTATCACTAAAAGTGAGAGAACGAGATGTGGCATGCTTTCTGGGGCAATGCAACGTGAAGAGTTACTGCCAAAAACATTGAACCTGAATTGTATAGAGTCATCTTCCTTTCACAGGAAATACGGGGATATTTAGTTTAACACCACAAGAAACAGAATGTAGACCATTCTATAGGACAGTTTCAACAAGTTAATAACGTGGGAGAAAAAAGTAAGAGGAGACTTCTAAATAAGACTTCAGAGCTGTAACAACTAAATGCAATGTGTAATTTGGTTTGTATCCTGATTCAAACTGGCTATAAAAAGACACTTAAAACAATTAGAGATACTTAAATATGGACTGAGAGATGACATAAGGAATAATTGTAAATTTTATTAGATGTGAAACTGGCATTGTGATTATGCAAACATTCATATGTATTTTAGAAGTGCAAATTAAGTGTATGGGATAAAATGGCATGTTATTTTTTATTTATTTTTTATCTTCACCCAAGGACATTTTTGCATTTTATCTTCAGATAGAGAGGGAGGGAGAGAGGGGGATGGAGAGAGAGAGAAACATCAATGCAAGAGAGACACATCAAGTGGTTGCTACCCACACGACCCCAACCTGGGCGGGGACAAACTGCAACTGAAATACATGCCCTTAGCAGGAACCGAACCTGGGACTCTCTGGTCCGCAGGCTGATGCTCTAACTGCTGAGTCAAACCAGCCAGGGCAGGCATGCCGTCTTTAAAATACTTTGGCAAAATAGATTTTAAAAAAGGGACAGATGGAGCAAATACAATACAATCTTGATACTTGTGAATCGGTGTTGGGAATATGGGGTTCGTTATACTATTTTTCATACTTAATATTATGTTTGAAGTTTTCATATTTGGGAAAAAAGGGACTCCTTGTATCTCAGATTTAATAGCAATCAGTAGCATGAATAGTGATGTGTGCCCCATTTTCAGAGGACCTTCACGAAGAGATGTCTGACCTGGTAAAGAGCAGATTAAGAAGTTGAAATATAATAGGAAATAAACTGATTATATCTTGCACAGAGGGAACACCAAGTTTGCTACAGCAAAGCTATTCTTAATATTAAAGATTTTTAAAAAGCTAACGAGAACTGTTCAACAGTGAGGTGGCCTCGCTCATGAGAGTGAGCTCCTTGTCTCTGAAACTCCAATGAGAATCATCTGCCAGGGATTTTTTTTTATCTTTATTGTTGAATGTATTACAGATGTTCCTCATTTTTCCCCCACTCACCCCCTCCTCCCCACTCTCGCCCCCCCCCCCCCCCCACCTTTCCCACACTGTTGTCTGTGTCCATTGGTGATGCATATATGCATATAAGTTCTTTGGTTCATTTCTTCCCACCCCCCAAACCCCTTCCATTTGAGGTTTGTCAGTCTAGCAACCAGTTTGTACTTCTTAATCCCTTCACCTTTTTCATCCATTTTCCCAACCTCCCTCCCATCTGGCAACCAACAAAATATTCTCTCTGTCTATGAGAATGTTTCTGTTCTGCCTGTTCATTTTGTTTGTAGATTCAGTTGTTGATAGATATGTATTTATGGTCATTTTGTTTGTTCATATTTTTTATCTTTTTCTTCAAAAAGACCCTTCAACATTTCACATAGTAACGGTTTGGTGGTGATGAACTCCTTCAGCTTTTTCTTGTCTGGGAATCTCTTTATATGGCCATCGATTCTAAATGATAGCTTTGCAGGATAGAGTAATCTTGGTTGTAGGTTCTTGCTTTTCATCACTGTAAATATTTCTTGCCACTCCCTTCTGGCCTGCAAAGTTTCTTTTGAGAAATCAGCTGACAGTCTCATGGGAATTCTCTTGTAGGTAACTAGCTGCCTTTGTCTTGCTGCTTTTAAGATTCTCTCTTTGTCTTGAACCTTTTGCATTTTGATGATGATGTGTCTTGGTGTGGGCCTCTTGGGGTTCATCTTGTTTGGGACTCTCTGTGCTTCCTGGACTTGTATGTCTGTTTCCTTCACCAAGTTAGGGAAGTTTTCTGCCATTATTGTTTCAAATAGGTTTTCAATTTCTTGTCCTCTCTCTTCTCCTTCTGGCACCCCCAAGATGCGAATGTTGGCACGCTTGAAGTTGTCCCAGAGGCTCCTTATACTATCCTCATTTTTTTAGATTCTTTTTTCTTTTTGCTGTTCTGATTGGGTGTTTTTTCTTCCTTATATTCCAAATCAATAGTTTGCTTCTTGGATTTACGTACTCTACTACTGAATCTGTGTAAATTATTCTTTATTTCAGTTAGTGCCTCCTTCATTTCTGACTGGTCCTTTTTTATGTTCTTGAGGCCCTCAGTAAGTTCGCTGAGGTTCTCACTAAGTTCATTGAGCATCCTTATAAGCAGTATTATGAACTCAGCATCTGTTCGGTTGTTTATCTCCATTTCTCTTAGTTCTTTTCCTAGGGTTTTGTTCTGTTCTTTCATTTGGGACCTGTTTCATTGTGTTGTCATTTTGGTTGCCTGGGAGTGTCTGTTTCTATGTGATAATTAATGAGAAGTATGGGGCTGAGACCAGATGCTGCTTGTTTGAAAGAATTTAGGAAAACCTGAAGCAGGATTCAAGACAGGCCAATCCTATAGTTAAGCAAGTGGCAACAGCTTGGGTAGGCCTGAAAGTTGGGTGGGGCGGGGCCTCAGGGAACCACCAGGGTGGGGCTACCAGTGTGAGCCAGGTTCCTGGAGTCCCAGATATGGTGACTGCCACCCCAGGGAAGGGCTCACCAAAGGAAAAAAGGCCTCTGACAGTACGTTTGTCCCAGAGAAAGCCCCCTCTCCAGCCCTCACTCCAATGCCAAACAGCTCAGTTCTTCCCTGTATGTCTCTGGCGCCCCTCGAGCTGCCTCCCCTCCAAACTTAGAGGGAGAGAGTCCGATAAGTCCGTGCGCGGGCCCTTTAAGAGGAGCTGCCTGGGGCTCCAGCCCCCTCAGCCTCCCTGAGCCTCAGTTCCCACTGGTTTTTCCAGCCAGAAGTTATGGGGACTTCTCTTCCTGGCACTGGAACCCTGAGTGGGGCGCCTGGTGTGGAACGGGGAACCCTCAGTCCTCAGGGAGGACCTTCCCAGCCGAGGTGTCCTCCTGATTTTTATCCGCCACACGTGGGTGTGGGACCAGCCCGTCGCGCCTCCGCCCCTTCTACCAGTCTCAATGTGGCTGCTGCTTTAATTCCGTAGTTGTAGGACTTCCATTCAGCTTGATTTCAGGCGGTTTTGAACGATGGTTGTTCTGTAGTTTAGCTGTAACTTTGATGTGCTTGTGGGAGGAGCGATACCACATTTACCTCTGCTGCCATCTTGACAGGAAGTCCAGGGATTTTTTTTTAGGGTAAGAGATGTGTGGGTTCCTTCAGATTGAGGGTTTTGAAGATACAGGTAGTCCCTGCTTTTATGTTATAGTAGGTTTCTGAAAAGTGCATTCAAGTTGCCTGAGAATGCTATTGTGGTCACCTGTTGTTACATATTGTGATATTATCAATAGAAAATGCCAAATGCATGAATACAGCTGAAGAAAAAGGGAATTTATTTTTTTAATGAGATAGTGTGAAGTATAGTGGTGAAATGACCATCCTGACACTTACAAGTGGGCAGTGTGAACACGAGTCATTGCGGTGAAGTGCAGTAAGTGCTCTTGCGGTGTTTGAGGGGTTTGTCCCCCTGCTGTTTTGATTCTTGTGTTTTAATGTTTGTTTTTCTTTTTCCATCTAGCTCATAGAGTTACACACACCTCTTAAAGTTACATTTTTCTTTTTCCTACCTCCATATTATTTGCTGTTTCTCGTGTGTTATGGACAGATAATAAAACTTTTAGTTTTCATGTTATTGTGTGCTAAATGGGGAAGTGAAGACTTCTTTCCAGTGAAATTCTTGGGCTTTGTGACAGTTGCTTGGAAATTTTGTGGGTTTTAGTTTTTTAATTTCTACTTCTTTGTAAATTAACAATTCATTTGACCCTTATCACCTACCTACATGTGATCTAAAGCAAAAATGATTGACAAAGTCCATAGATCTTCTGGACCCATTTCTTTACACACAATCCTTTGTAATGTCTGAAAGCAGTACAAAAGAGTGTTTTGTCTAACTGTGTATTTTGCCATTAGAATAGAATACCTAAGGTGCCTAAATGACATTGACAGTTTAAACTCTTCAAGGTAGTGTCAGCTGGAACGTAATCCCAAGTCTTCTGAATAATCATCCTTTTCTTTCTAAAAAAAATTTTAGGGGAGGGTAAGTGACGTTGTGCTCTCCTGTTTCTCTCATTATCTTCAAAAGCTTGGATGATAGCCCTCTGCTCTTTCATCCTTCTATACTTTGCCTCAGAAAACTCATGTTTCCTTCAGTTGACCATCCTCACCTTTATGGTTATGATTCTGGCGTATTCATCTATGGGTCAGTCATTCTCAATAATATTTTACTTGAAAGTCTTAAGATTCTTTCAAATTTTTTTTTTTTTTTTTTTTATCCTCACCCGAGGACATTTTTGCATTTTTTTGTTCAGACAGAGCGGGAGGGAGGGAGAGAGAGGAAGAGAGAGAGAGAGAGAAACATTGATGTGAAGGGACACATCGAGTGGTTGCCACCCGCACGACCAACCAGGGCCGGGGACAAACTGCAACCGAGGTACGTGCCCTTAGCGGGAACCGAACCCGGGTCTCTCTGTACCACAGGTGGACGCTCTAACTGCTGAGCCAAACTGGCCAGGGCAAGATTCTTTCAAATTTAATGGACAAGATAAAACCTCTGTTTTCTCCCTCTCTAAATTAATTTTTCCTCCTAACTTCTACTGGTGATGGCCTCAACTTCTCTAGCAGCTCACTTAGATTTGATACCCTGAAATCATCTTTGATTTACTTATCTTTTTCTACCCTTTATGTATAGGATATCAGTAAGTTTTTGTCTTGTTTTTAGTCAAATTGCTCTTCCTCTTTATACCTGAAGGTCACAGTGTTACCATCCAGTGTTTTCTCATAATACCCCTAATCTAGACAGATTGTTCTCACTTTCCTAAAATAATTGTTCTATCCTATCCATGGCATTTACATTACTTTCTTCAGTTACAGTACCAAACCTTTCCCGTCTACCCATGAATGTCTTCCTTATCCTTCAAGCATCACCTCATCCTTTAAGCCTTCTCTAGCTATGCCACCTAGATTACTGAAGTGAACTCTCATTTTTTTAAAAATATGCTTTTATCGCTTTTTAGAGAGAGAGAGAGAGAAATATCAATGTGAGAGAGAAACATCAATCAGCTGCCTCCTGCATGCCCCCCTACTGGGGATTGAGCCTGCAACCCAGGCTTGTGCTCTGACCGGGAATCGAACTGGGACCTCTCAGTCCATGGGATGACGTGCAATCCACTGAGCCCCACCAGCTGAGCTGAACTCTCATTTTTATGAACTTCTGAAGTTCTCTTAGTTTTTTCAGGATGATTCCCCTCAGCCTCAATTTTATATTAATTTGCATTATTTATTAATTGCATTGCGTTAAGCGTTTCCTACTCTAGCCAGAAAGCTGATTGTACATACCCACAGAGCCTACCAGAAGGGCTGTATACAGTGCACACTTAATAAATATTGTTGATCATTTAACCTGCAAACCTTAGGTTGCGGTGAGGAAATGCTGTGAACATACCTATAAATTAGTATGGATTCAATTTATTTTTCTTTCAGGCTCGTGATGCAGAGAGCATTATGCTGAATCTTGCAGGACAGCTCATCATGCTGCAGAGGGACCGGTCAGGCCCTCAGATCCGGGAGAAGGACAGTAACCCAAACCAGAGAAAACTGGTGAGTAAATGCATGTCATCTAGAATGTTAATAATGTATGGAATCAGGATAAAGGAATAAAATAATTTAAGAGGAAAGTATTGTCTTGTGATTTGGAAACTGAGAAAATATGTAAAATTAATCTTAAGCCTCTGAGTATAAAACAATTTGTGAAGGGTGAAGGAAGGATAGGGTCCCAAAGTGATGATAAAATGTTCCATACTCCAGATGTTATTGCTTAGGCATTATTTCCAAATTCTAATGGGAAAACAGTATAAACTGGTGAAGGTTTTGTTTTGTTTTTAGATTTAAATACATGTACTCTGAAAGGCCAGGGTACTGTTATTAACTCTAATTCTAAATAAATTACCCCAATTTTCCCAAAAAGTTATACTGTCATTTTGAAATTAGTACCTAGGAACTTAACCTACAGATTTCATAGGGAAAAAACTGATTCTGTCTCTCCTTTTGCAGCTGCCATTCTGTCCCCCTGTTGTACTAGCTCAATCTGTTGAAAATGTGTGGACTACATGTCGCGCAAGTAAACAAAAGCGCCACCTTCTGGAGGCCCTGTGGCTGAGCTGTGGCGGTGCAGGGATGAAAGTTTGGCTCCCTCTCTTCCCCAGGGATCACCGCAAGCCCCATTCCTTTTTGTCCCAGCGGATCATGCTGCCTTTCCACATCAATATCTACCCCCTGGCAGTTCTGTTTGAAGATGCATTAGTCCTCGGTGCTGTCAATGACACTTTACTCTATGACTGTCTGTACACTCGGAACAGTGCCCGGGAACAGCTGGAGGTGCTCTTCCCTTTCTGTGTTGTGGAGAGAACCTCTCAGATCTACCTCCACCACATTCTACGTCAGTTACTGGTCAGGAATCTTGGGGAGCAGGCCTTGCTCTTGGCCCAGTCCTGCTCCGCGTTACCTTACTTCCCTCATGTGCTGGAGCTCATGCTCCACGAAGTGCTGGAAGAGGAAGCTACCTCACGGGAGCCCATTCCCGACCCTCTGCTTCCCACTGTGGCAAAATTTATCACCGAGTTCCCACTCTTCCTGCAAACCGTTGTTCATTGTGCCAGGAAGACTGAATATGCCCTGTGGAACTACCTTTTTGCAGCCGTTGGAAACCCCAAGGACTTGTTTGAGGAATGTTTGATGGCTCAGGATTTGGACACAGCTGCCTCTTACCTTATTATCTTACAGGTAACAGCTCTGTTCTTATAAAGGTACAAGAATTAATGATCTTAAACTTCAGAAAAAAGAGAAATATCCTGCTTTGACACTATGATTGTGTTTAAGGAATTAATACAGTCCTGGTTTCTGTTCAGAAATGACAGAAAATTTCTTTCAGTATCAAAAAATAACATTGCTGGGTTTTTTAATTTTATTTTTTAGAGAGGAAGGGAGAGAGAAACATCAATTTGTTCTACTTATATATGCATTTATTGCTTGATAGTAACACTGCAGGGTTTCTAAAATCCTTCTCGTCCATACATAGGCCTAAAACAAACTAATGAGTTTACAATATTTTGAATAATACTGAAGATATGTATTGTATGTTTTTGTTTTTTGTTAACCCTCACCCAAGGATATTTTTCCATTGATTTTTTTAGATAGAGTGGAAGGGAGGGAGAAACATCAATGTGAGAAAGACACTTCAATTGGTTGCCTCCCATATGCTCCCCGACCAGGGCCAGGGATCAAACCTGCAGCCCAGGTATGTGCCCTTGACCAGGAATCGAACCTGCATCCCTTCGGTCCACAGGCTGATGTTCTCACCATTGAATCAAACCATTATATGTATTATAGTACATATAACTTGCACATATTATATAAGAAGGTTGAATATTACATAAGAAACATAACTATTTTTAATATTATTGGGTTTGCCTGAGCCCCTAGAATGATAGATTTGTCTCCTTGTAGTGAAGAGTTGATGAGGGGACTCTGATTAGAGCATGGGTCATAAAAGAGCCTTATATTAGGCTCCCCATAGCAGGTTAAGAAGACTCAGACCTGTCACAGTAATCACCCTCATAGCTGTTTTTCTCAAAATAATGGGTTCTTGGAGACTTAAAAATTTGCTTCATTATATATATTTGACAAGGGTGCTTGATAGTTTGTTGTTCCTGTCAGTCTGATGTGGATTTGACAAGCTGCACTAAAGTTACTTTCAAATGACTGGAAGTTGTATTGCTGATGTAAGAAGCTAACCATAAACCTGGTCTGAAACTGCCTGAAGCAGATTTCCTGTCTGCTTATTTGCCTCAAGACAACTGACTGAAGCCAGAGGAGATACGCGAGCAGAGGCTGGATGGCCATGAATTTCTGGTCCCTTGGTTAGTCTTAAAGAAAAAGCTATAGAGTCATAAAAATAGAAACAAATTAATGCAGCTGTTTTTTGTTTTGTACTTGCAGGGATCTCTGAAGCAATGGAATTGGAAACTTCTGTTCTATCAGAATTCCTAAATTGCTGTGGATTATCAAATAGTAATTACAGTTAAACTTGTCTGTTAGTCATCTTTCCATGAAGGTCAAGGCAGGCAGTAAGGTTAAATTTGTGAAAGAGCCTGGCCAGGTGGCTCAGTTGGTTTCTAGTGTCATCCTATATACAAAAAGGTTGCAGGTGTGATTCCTGGTCAGGGCACATACCTGCATTTCATATGGGAGGCAACTGATCCATGTTTCTCTCACTTTCTCTTCCTAAAATCAATAAACATATCCTTGGATGAGGGTAAAAAGTAAACTCGTGAAAGAATTATTTAGGATGCTGTTTGTGTAATGGTACTACATACTACTGCCCAAAGCAAAGATTTTATAAGTCACATCCTCAGAAAACTCTCTCCTAGGAGACAGACCTGAGCTTTTTTGGAGTCTGGCAAACCTAGATTTATATTCTTGTTTCAAAAGTTGCTTAACTCAGTTTCCTCATCTGTAAAATAGGAATGATATACTTATTTTGCAGATGCACTAGGAGAAATGAAAGAATATATGTAAGGTTTATATAAGCTACCTGGCATGTGGAAGTTCAGTAAATCATAATTATGTTACATGGCAGAGTATTCCCCTCACTTTTTCTTGTCTGGTACTTTTTTTTTTTATCCTCACCTGAGAACCTTTTTTGCATTCATCTTCAGATAGAGTGGGAGGGAGAAGAGAGAGAGAAACATTGATGTGAGAGAAACACATCGACTGGCTGCCACCCACACCACCCCATCCGGGGCTGGGGACAAACTGCAACTGAGGTACGTGCCCTTAGCGGAAAGCAAACCTGGGACTCTGGTCCGCGGGCCGACGCTGTAACCCTGAGCCAAACCGGCCAGGGCTTGTCTATTACTTTTAATGGTCCTTTTAATTTTACTGTTAAACTGTCCCCTATATCTCTCCTCTGGGTTTAGGGAACCATGGCGATCAAGAGTTGCTCATAGATTCCCAAATTGTTTGCAGTATGAAAGGAATGCTTGTCTTCCTTGATTTTTTTTTTAGAATATGGAAGTCCCAGCAGTAAGTAGGCAACATGCCACCCTTCTGTTCAACACAGCCCTGGAACAAGGCAAGTGGGACTTATGTCGACACATGATTCGGTTTCTTAAAGCCATTGGCTCTGGAGAATCTGAGACACCTCCATCCACACCTACAGCTCAGGTTAGTTGCAAAATTGCACAGCTTCTCTGTGCCATATACCTATGTGGCATCTTTCTCTAACTGTACCGCACATTGTATGTACTCTTAGGAACCCAGTTCAAGCGGTGGATTTGAGTTCTTCAGGAATCGAAGCATCAGTTTATCCCAGTCAGCTGAAAATGTACCTGCTAGTAAATTCAGCTTACAGAAAACACTAAGTATGCCATCTGGTCCTTCTGGAAAAAGGTAAAAGAATGAAAAGCTTTTAGGGCATTTAGTGACACATTGCATTTTAGGACATTTGTAAAGTTAGATCTCATGAAAACAACTACTTGATCCAGTTGTGCTTCTTTTGCAATTCCCGAAAGCTTAGAGACCACACACAGGACTTCCCTTTCTTCCTTCTCCAGAGTTCACTTCTCTACTCTTTGTACAGTTTCTGCCCCTTGCAGTAGAGTAGGTCTTGATATACCTGTTCTGAATGTAATTAACTTTAAATTACTTCTGATTATAGAATATAAGGATGACAACTAAGCTGCAGGTAATCCAGTCAACAGTTTTATCTTCCTTTCCAACTGTACCTTGACAAAGAATAAAAATTCGGTCCTGTGTACTTGGCTCTCCTGACTCTTTTGATCGGAGAAGTCATTAAAACAGTGGGAGAGCAAAGAGGAAGTGTATCTGGAGACTGAAACCTCCATCACCCATGGATGGGTTATTACTCCTGACAGGTTACAGACTCATACTGAACATAAAATAATATTTCCTTGGTCTGTGAGGTCCTTGTATTCCTTCTTGTGTCGCATGTTCTTGGCTCCTGTTTTTTCTCTTCCCTAATCCTGTTACATTGTTTGCATTATGTCTACAGTGCCTGGCCCATACGTAGAGCTTAATGAACATTTTTTATTGTGATATTTAACTGCTTTTTCTGATTATCGTGGCAGTTAATATCACCCCCACTTGTGACACACACACAGTCATGGGCTATATACAAGTGAAATTCAACCTGTAGACAATTGTCAGGCAAACAGGAGCTTCTCAGCCATTCCCTGAGTTTAAATACAGGCAAACCTCAGTTCTCAACCATCTTCCATCTCGAGCAATTCGTTTTTCTTATTTTTATTTTTTATCCTCACCCGAGGACATTTTTCCATATTTTGTTCAGATAGAGTGGGAGGGAGAGAGAGAAACATCGACGTGAAAGGGACACATCGAGTGGTTGCCACCCGCATGACCCAACCAGGGCCAGGGACAAACTGCAACCGAGGTACGCGCCCTTAGCGGGAACCGAACCTGGGTCTTTCTGGACAGCAGGCCGACGCTCTAACCGCTGAGCCAAACCGGCGAGTGTGCAGTTCATTTCTCAGCCTGACAGTCCTTTTCATGCTGATACCTGTATGATCAGTCACACGTCTCTCAGGGGACAAAGGAGAGAACGTATATGAGTCAGTTTACCACATAACCTCACATTGTTAACATCTCAGGAAATTGTGCTAAGAATAGTTTCATGGTTTTTTTTTTGCTTTTGTTGCTGCTTATTATTACTAAAATTTTCATTTTTTACTATACATTTCATTTCTCTTTCATTAAACTTTCATTTACATTTTATGTCCTTTTTGTTTTTAAAGTGTTTATAGAGGAAACAGTACATTAGATATGTATTGTATATAAGATAAGTTAAAATAGGGAATCATTTGGGGTCTGGAATGGATTAATTCAATTTACATGATTTCTAATGGGAAAAGGTGATTCAGTTTTCGAACAGCCTTCCAGAGCAAATGAAGTTCAAGAGCAGAGGTTCCACTCTGCTGGCTGGTGCACACTCAGTGCTCACTGTGTGTGAGGTGTGGTTCTAAGGATTTACACGTGTAGGTCTTTTCATTCTTCCAACTGTGAAGTAGGTAAGGGTAGATACTATTGCTACCTACGTTCAGGTGAAGAAACGGAGGCCCAGAAAATAAACGTGGCTATGTTCACACAATGAACAAGTGACAGAGCCAGGATCCGAATCCAGGCCGTCCTGCCCCAGCACTCCTGTCCCTGAGAGCGCCACAGGCCAGGCCAGGCGCAGACCTCGTCGGCCCTGTGAGCAAGGGGTCATAGACTGTATTTAGTGAAGTCATTACCTTTTTTTTTCCAATTTTTATTAATTTTGTTACAGATGTTTCTCCTTTTCCTACCCTAGACACCTCCTCAGCATCCTGCCCCCCCCCCCCCCCAGCATTATTGTCTATGTCCACTGGTTACACATACATGCATATAAGTTCTTTGGTTAACTTTTTAAGAAGAATTGTTATTTTATTTTTTGTGTTGTCTACATAACTCATTTTGAGAGACTTCTTTCACTTTTCTTCTCCTTAGTTTCTTTGATCTGATTTCCTTCCCTCTTTTCTTTGGTCTTTTCGAAGACAGCATTTATTTATTCCCTTTCTTTCCTTCAAGCAGTTATCACCCTCTTTCCCAGTTTGGCTTTGTCTCCTGTTTTTCCTATTCCACGTATTCATTCTACAAATATGTTTTAAGAGCCTACTGTGTTCCAGTTATTGTTCAACAGGTTGTGGTTTCACATGGAGGAGAAGACCCAATACTTTATTGTCCTCTTAAATCAGAATTAGATCAGAATTACCTCCTTATCAGCATTATCAGTACTACTGCATGAAAGTATGTGAAGTCTTCCAGTAAAGAATTTTCTGGACCTTACTTGTGTTCCCACTTACAGATGGAGTAAAGACAGCGACTGTGCAGAAAACATGTACATTGACATGATGCTCTGGAGACATGCTCGGCGTCTCTTAGAAGAAGTTCGGCTCAAGGACCTGGGTTGCTTTGCAGCTCAGCTGGGCTTTGAACTAATTAGTTGGCTCTGCAAGGAACGTGCCCGAGCTGCCCGGGTAGACAACTTTGTGATAGCCCTGAAGAGGCTCCACAAAGATTTCCTGTGGCCACTTCCCATCATCCCAGCCTCTTCCATCAGTTCTCCTTTCAAGAATGGAAAATTCCGAACAGGTAGTGCAGTCCTGTGTTACTTGCACAGGAAAGTTGTATGTTACTCTTAAGAATTCAGACATTTTTCTATTAGTTAATATTCAAAGAAGTATTTTCATCCCAAGCTCAAGAAGAGATAAAAGTTAACTTTTTGCACCTCAGTCAGATCATCCACCATTTGATCAGGGTTGTAAATCAAGTAGAAACTATGTCTCAAACACTTGTGACCTTGAAGTCTAATTTATAAATCTAACCATTGTTATCTTAAATTATCAAAAAGTTGAGAATTGACTAAATATAGAACTACCACACTTATTTTAATCAAAATAAGCTAAATTGTTACTTACCTGAAAGGACTCCTTCCAGAGAAATGGTAAAAATGTGTCTTTGAGCACCCATCTTCTAAACTAGGAGAAGACAGTGAAACTGCACTTTGGTGAAAGAAAAATAAAAATGTAAAAGTTGTTTAGTTCAGGTCTTTTTAAGGAAGACTGTTCTAATGATCATTTAAGAAAGTGCAAACAAAAGCCTTTTACTATGGCATTAGGAAATTCATGTCATCTTAGAACCAAGGAAAACCCCGTAAAAGATGAGCAGAATAAAACTTTGCCTAGCTCTAGTAAGATGATGCTATAAGACAACTTAGACGGCATTAGTCCATTTTGTCACAGCCCCCTGTCCCTGGTTTACAGGTAGATGAAGTAGTATAGGACAGCAGTTAGTCTTGAACTTCTAGTATTGGGGTTTGGGGGAGAAGCTGAAAGAACTGAATTGGAAACGGCAGTGTGTGCATCCTGAATTCCTATTTTTTTCTGTTTTCGGACCTGCGTTGCAGTAGGAGAGCAGCTGCTGAAGTCTCAACCAGCTGACCCTTTCTTAAACCTTGAGATAGATCCTGGCATCTCTAATGTCCAACGAAGTCAGAGCTGGCTCAGCAACATTGGCCCTACCCACCATGAGGTAGACACAGCCTCGTCCCACGGACCACAGATGCAAGATGCCTTCCTGTCACCTTTATCTAACAGAGGTCAGTGTCATTTACCTACTGGCTCTTCCTCAGTTCCTTTGGAAGGGAGTTGATGTGCGGTAGCACTTCAGAGACAGCTTCACTCTTTTCTTCAAAGATGTTTTTTGAGGATGACCCATCAGTATCCTCTGGAGAGGTGGAGAGTTACTAAAACAAGGCCAAATTGGCCTTGATTATATGTCACCATTATTTATTTTAGGTAAAATGAAACAGGCAAAATCGTAACAGATCAGCACTAATAGATGGACTTTTGCAGTTGATTTTAATGATACAGAAACACTACTTTGAACCTTAAGTAAGCAAAATGTTACCTATCCCCACATAAAAATTGCATTCTTCTCATAAGTATACCTATATCATAAAAAATTGTACTCAGTTATCTTATTTCATTGATTTAAAAATGTGGACATTTTCTATTTCTATTATAATTTCCTACAAAATATCCTTAATTTTGCCTCTTAGCCTTTAAAACCTGAAGTATTTACTATCTGGCCCTTTACCAAAAAACGTATGCCAACCCCTGTTCTTACAGTAATGGGTAAGTTAAAAATTGAGGAATTTTTTAAGTGATTTATGTTGCATAGGTTTATATAATTAGGAGCCTTAAGTAGCAATTAGTCTGATTTTCTGAAGTTTGCTTAATGGCCAGGTATTCATCTGTCATCATTGTTACCTGAGCTTTTACTATGTGGGTAGACTAATAGCTGCCTTCATTTTCTTAAGTGTGGTAGAATACACAAAAAATTTACCTTTTTTTTTTTTGGTTAATCCTCACCTGAAGATATTTTTCCATTGATTTTTAGATAGACTGGAAGGGAGAGAGAGAGAGAGAGAGAGAGACAGAGAAGGAAGACAGAGAGAAACACTGATGTGAGGGAAACACGTCATTTGGTTGTCTCCCTTATGACCCCTACTGGGCCGAGGATTGAACCTGCAACCCAGGTACGTGCCCTTGACCGGGAACTGAACCCGAGAGCCCTGGGTCCAAGGGCTGATGCTCTGACCTCTGAGCCAAACTGGCCAGAGCCATCTTAACCATTTTTAAGTATACAGTTTACTGTAGTAGTGTTTACAATTCACTTTGTTGTGTAACCAGTACCCAGATCTCTTTCATCTTGCAAAACCAAAACCCCTGTAACCCATTTAATAACAACTCCCCATTCCTCCCACCCCCAAGTACTGGCAAATACCATTCTATTTTCTGTCTCTATGAATTTCACTACTTTAGATATCTCATATAAGTGGAATCGTGCAGTATTTGTCATTTTTTTTATCCTCACCCGAGGACATTTTTTCCATTTTTTGTTCAGATAGAGTGGGAGGGAGAGAGAGAGAGAGAGAGACATCGACGTGGAAGGGACACATCGAGTGGCTGCCACCCACACAACCCAACCAGGGCCGGGGACAAACTGCAACCGAGCTACGTGCCCTTAGCGGGAACCGAACCCGGGTCTCTCCGGACCACAGGCCAATGCTCTAACCGCTGAGCCAAACTGGCCAGGGCAGTGTTTGTCATTTTTTAATTGGCTTGTTTCACTCAGCATAATGTTCTCAAAGTTCACCCATTGTAGCACGCATGTGAATTTCCTTTTTTTGGTAGAGTAATATTCCACTGTATGTATGTATGTTCCACATTTTGTTTATCCTTCCATCTACTGAGGGACACGTGGGTTGCTTGCACCTTTTGGTTATTGTGAATAATACTGGTGAGCATGGGAGTACATCTCTCTCCGACCCTGCTTTCAGTTCCTTGGGTATATACTCAGAAATGGGATCACCAGATCATGTGGTAATTCTCTTTAAAATTTTTTTTTTCTTTTTTGAGGAACCATCATATTTTCCATAGCAGCTCAATACCATTGTACATTCCCACTATTGTTGACAGGGTTCCGGTTTCTCCACATACTTATCAATACTTACTTGCTGTTTTTTGTTTGTTTGTTTTTCAGTAGTAGCCATCATAATGGACATGCAGTGGTACCATTGCATTATTTTTTAAGAAAACTTTTTAAAAAGATCATTTCAAACATGCTCAAGAAGTTGAGACAATAGTATAATGGATCCATGTATCCATCACCCAGCTTCAATTACCAACTCATGACCAGATTTGTTTCATCCACTTCCCCCTCCTGTGTTTTTTTTTTATCCTCACCCAAGGATATTTTTCCATTTTTTGTACAGATAGAATGGGAGGGAGAGAGAGAGGAAGGGAGAGAGAGTGAGAAACATCGACGTGAAGGGACACATCGAGTGGCTGCTACCCGCACGACCAACCAGGGCCGGGGACAAACTGCAACCAAAGTACATGCCCTTAGCGGGAACCGAACCCGGGTCTCTCCGGACCGCAGGCCGACGCTCTAACCGCTGAGCCAAACTGGCCAGGGCCCCTCCTGTATTTTTGAACAAGATCTAAAACATATATTTTATCTGAACATTTCAGGACTTTTTTTTTCTTTATTGATTTTAGAGAGAAAGGAAGGGAGACGGAGAGAGAGAAACATCGATGAGAGAGAACATTGATTGGCCACCTCCTGTATGCCCCCCACTGGGGATTGGGCCCACAACATGGGCATGTGCCCTGACCAGGAATCAAACCAGTGACTTCTTGGTGCATGTGTTGATGCTCAACCACTGAGCCACACTCAGAGTCCTGAGCTCAGGACTCGTTTTTTTAAAGAAAATATCTGTAATACCATTATCATCCCTCTAAAATTTTAATAATTCCTTAATACCATCAAATATCCAGTAAGTTTTCAGGTTCCAATTATCTCATAATTGCCTTTTATGTCTTGAATCAAGATATACATAAGGTTCATACATTGTGATTATGTTTTTAATTCTCTTTTTAGCAGTAGTAGTTCCCTTCCCTATCTCGTCTTTTTTTCTTCCAATTTATTCATTGAAAAAAACTGTATTTTGGTGATTATACCTTGCTGGTTAGTTTAGCAGTTTCCTCTGTATTTCTTGTCAATTGGTCATTGAATCTAAACACTTGCTGAGATTATAGCTATTTTTAAAATAGGTAGTAGCATGTTTTTATATCTGAAGGTACATAATGCCTGGTTATCTCTCTGATGGCTTTTTAAAATATCTATTGTTAATACAGCATGGGACTTTCAGCAGTGGATTTAATGTTTTGATTTCAAACTCTTCAGGAAAAATCAACATCTGAGAAACAGCCAGTATTTAATGTTAAAGTAAAACATTTTCCACGTGAAGTTAGTTGATAACTTTGAGCACTTCTTCATCAGGTGATGAATGCAGTATTGGTTCGGCCACAGACTTGACTGAAAGTAGCTCCATGGTGGATGGGGACTGGACAGTGGTGGATGAAAATTTCTCCACGCTCAGTTTAACTCAGTCAGAGCTAGAGCACATCTCCATGGAGTTGGCGAGTAAAGGGCCTCACAAATCCCAGGTCCAGCTTCGGTGAGTTTCTCAGCATTTTGAAAGCACAGAATGCTCACTTGGGATATTGGGGCAAATAAGGTACGGGGGCTACTTTCCTGATAACTATTGCTCTTCTGTGGATTCTTCTTAGTTCCGTATTTCCTTCTCAGTTATTTTGTTTCTGTTTATATATAGGTATTTGTTACACATCTTCATGGAGGCAGGATGTCTGGACTGGTGCATTGTCATAGGCTTGATTCTTAGAGAATCCTCAATAATCAACCAGATTTTGGTTATTATACAGACAACGGAGGTAGATGGAGAGATGTTACAGAACATAAAGACAGGGCTGCACGCGGTGGACCGATGGGCCTCTGCAGATTGGTAAGTGCTTGTTTCCGTGGGCTTGTTTCTTGGCTGTCCGTTGGTGAATCCTGTCCCTTCACAGTAAGGCTTAGCTCTGGTTGATTTATTTGGAGATTTTTAGGTTGGTCAAAATAAAAAGGCTTTCAAAGGCCCTTTTTTTTAAATTAATTTATTTTTTATCCTCACTCGAGGATATTTTTCCATTTTTTATTCAGATAGAGCGGGAGGGAGAGAGAGGAAGAGAGAGAGAGAGAGAGAGAGAGAGAGAAACATCAACATGAAAGGGACACATCAGGTGGCTGCCACCCGCACAACCCAACCAGGGCTGGGGAAAAACTGCAACCGAGGTACATACCCTTAGCAGGAACCGAACCCGGGTCTCTCTGGACCGCAGGCTGACGCTCTAACTGCTGAGCCAAACCAGCCAGGGCTCAAAGGTTCATTTTTAAGACTGTTTTCTTTAGTTACCATTGTATACCAAACACATAGATGAGTGATGTCCAGTGAGATGGCGTTGGTCATTTTTTCTTTATTGCTTTTAGAGGGAGAGGGAGAGAGAGATAGAAACATCGATGAGAGAGAATATCCATTGGCCGCCTCCTGCATGCCCCTACTGGGGATTTGGACCACAACCTGGACATGTGCCCTGCCAGGAATGGAACCGGTGACCTCTTGGTGCATGGGTCGATGCTCAACCACTGAGCCACACCAGCCGGGCAGTGTTGGTCATTTTAACATGGGAGTGTGCCCTGGCTGGTTTGTTAGAGCATTGGCCTGCAGACCATTAAGTTGCAGGTTCGATTCCAGTACGTACCTCGGTTGTGGTTTGTCCCCAGCCCTGGTCGGGGTCATGAGGGAGACAACCACTCATTGTCCCTCTCACATCAATATTTCTCTCTTTCCCTCTCTCCCTCCCTCTCCTCTATCTGAGGATAGAGAAATGTCCTTGGGTGAGGATTAAAACAATAATAATAAAATAAAATGGGTATGCATGTCACTGACTTAAGATTGAAGCAGCACAAGTGATCTTACAAATAAGACTGGAACTCGAGGTTTGTAGTTCTGTGGAATTAAAGATAAAAACCTAAAAACGTCTACTTAGAAAGATAAAAACGTAAAGTCTGTGTGAATTTAACATTCTGTGGAAGTTACTAGCAAGCCCAGGTAGTGGATGGGAGGACTTCTGGTCAAGGTAGCGGTGTAGAAAAACGCGGTATCGCGTCCTCCCCCAACCACATCAAAGTTACAACTAAACTACAGAACAACCATCATTCAAAACCGCCTGAAATCGAACTGAATGAAAGTCCTCCAACTACAAAATTAAAGAAGAAGCCACATCGAGACTGGTAGGAGGGGTGGAGGGGTGACGGGCAAGTCCTACACCCATGTGTGGCGGATAAAACTCAGGAGGGACACCTCGGCTGGGAAGGTCCTCCCTGAGGACTGAGGGGTCCCCGTCCCACATCAGGCGCCCTGCTCAGAGTTCCAGTGCCAGGAAAAGAAGTCCCCATAAATTCTGGCTGGAAAACCAGTGGGGGGGCTGAGGCGGCTGGAGCCCCAGGCAGCTCCTCTTAAAGGGCCAAATGTATGGACTTACTTGGACTCGCACCCTCCACACTCCAGCGTGGGGGAGGCAGTTTGAAAAGCACCAGAGACATATGGGGAAGAACTGAGCTATTTGGCATTGGAGCAAGGGCTGGAGAGGGGGCTTTCTCTGGCTTTTGTTCCTTTGGTGAGCCCTTCCCTGGGGCGACAGACAGTCACCATATCTGGGACTCCAGCAACCTAGCTCACATTGGTAGCCCCGCCCTGGTGACTCCCTGAGGCCCCGCCCCACCCCACCCAACTTTCAGGCCCACCCAAGCTGTTGCCACTTGCTTAACCATAGGATTGGCCTGTCTTGGATCCTGCTTCAGGTTTTCCTAAATTCTTTCCAACAAGAAGCATCTGGTCTCAGCTAGCCCCATACCTCTCGTTAAGTAATACACAGAAGCAAGCACATGGAGGTGGCCAGAATGAGGAGACAAACAGGTCCCAGGTAAAAGAACAGAATAAAACCCCAGGAAAAGAACTAAGCGAAATGGAGATAAGCAACCGAACAGATGCTGAGTTCAAAACACTGCTTATAAGGATGCTCAATGAACTTAGTGAGAACCTCAGTGAACTTACTGAGGGCCTCAAGAGCATAAAAAGGGACCAGTCAGAAATGAAGGAGGCACTAACTGAAATAAAGAATAATTTACAGATTCAATAGTAGAGTAGGTAAAGCCAAGAAGCAAACCTTCGATTTGGAATATAAGGTAGCAAAAAACGCCCAATCAGAACAGCAAAAAGAAAAAAGAATCTAAAAAAGTGAGGATAGTATAAGGAGCCTCTGGGACAACTTCAAGCATGCCAACAGTCGCAACTTGGGGGTGCCAGAAGGAGAAGAGAGAGGACAAGAAATTGAAAACCTATTTGAAACAATAATGGCAGAAAACTTCCCTAACTTGGTGAAGGAAACAGACATACAAGTCCAGGAAGCACAGAGTCCCAAACAAGATGAATCCCAAGAGGCCCACATCAAGACACATCATCAAAATTTAGAAGGTTCAAGACAAAGAGAGAATCTTAAAAGCAGCAAGAGAAAAGCAGTTACCTACAAGGGAATTCCCATGAGACTGTCAGCTGATTTCTCAAAAGAAAGGAGTGGCAAGAAATATTTACAGTGATGAAAAGCAAGAACCTACAACCAAGATTACTCTATCCTGCAAAGCTGTCATTTAGAATCGATGGCCATATAAAGAGTTTCCCAGACAAGAAAAAGTTAATGGAGTTCATTACCACCAAACCGTTACTATATGAAATATTGAAGGGTCTTTTTGAAGAAAAAGATAAAAAATATGAACAAACAAAATGGCCATGAATGCATATATATCGACAACTGAATCTACAAACAAAATGAACAGGCAGAACAGAAACATTCTCATAGATAGAACATTTTGTTGGTTGCCAGATGGGAAGGAGGTTGGGGGAATGGGTGAAAAAGGTGAAGGGATTAAGAAGTACAAATCGGTTGCTAGACTGACAAACCTCAAAGGGAAGGGGAGTTGCGGGGTGGGAAGAAATAAACCAAAGAACTTATATGCATAACCAATGGACACAGACAATAGTGTGGGAAAAGGCAGGAGGGGGATGGGAGTGGGGAGGAGGGGGTCAGTGGGGGAAAAATGAGGAACATCTGTAATACATTCAACAATAAAGATTAAAAACAAAAAAAAAGAGTAGTGGATGGTAATAGAACTCTAATAGGACAACACAGAATAAAGGACACAGGAGTTAATAAAAAGCCGTGGATTGAAGTTAGGAGCCTGGGGTTCTGGCCCATAGTCACCATTTATGTGTAGATTTGGGAGCTTCCCTTACTTGGATCTAGTTTCCCTTAATTGGAAAATCATTTAGGTTGTCTCCAAGTTCTTTTTCAAGTCTAAAATCCTGTTGATCCTTGCACTATGGAATATGATTTTTAATTGTGATACCAGATAATCTGCTCCTAGTGCTGGAAATGTAAGACTCTCACTAATGCCACCTGCAGCCCTCTGTGCTGGCCAGGGCCCCTAAGAAACCCTCCCTTCCTATCTCCCTGTGCCTCGTCCTCTCCCCCATAATCTGTCACTGACCTCACCGTATCCGTGTTCACTAGGAGTTTATCCATAATACTCTATGTAGGCCTTTTGAATATGGCAGATGAGAACTAATTTCCTTTTTCCTATACTTAGTCCTGGATATAAGCCATTTTTGAACATCATTAAGCCACAACTCCAGAAGCTCAGTGAAATAACAGAAGAGCAGGTCCAACCTGAAGCCTTCCAGCCAATAACTGTGGGTAAGACTCCTGAACAGACCAGTCCCCGGGCAGAGGAGAGCAGGGGCTCCTCGGGCCATGGAAGCATCCCCCAGGGTGAGGTTGGAGGTGGCAGTGTGGTCAGCCGGAAGGAGGAGAACACAACCCGAGCAGAGGAGGAGGAACCTTTCCAGGATGGGACTTACGACTGTTCTGTGTCCTAACAACTGGGGTGCTGTCACCATAGACAGTATTAATTAATCAGCAGCAGTGGGTGTGCAGCTGAGGACACTGTGACCTAGTTGGATGATTTAACCAGGGAGCTCAGCTCAGAGACTCTGATAAGGTATTAAATTTGAACTAACTCTTCTCTGAGAAATCTCTTTGACTCCATAAAAATGTGATATCAGAATAAATCATCTTTCATAAAAAAAATTTTTAAAGCTTCAGTGGAAAGTAATAAAGAATACTGTACAGATGTACATGAGGATATTTTGGTTTTATTCTTAAAGGTTAGTAGCTCTTCAAGCATAGGGATTGTTTTGCCCCAGGTGAGCTTGCTTTTTCTTACATATTTTCTGGTTCAGGGTGTGTCCAGATTGCTTTAAAAAAAAAAAATGCTAAGGTGCTTGCTGTAGCTCATCAGGTACCTGAGCTACCTGTAATGCCCCTTGGATTGAGAGCGCTGGACTGTACCTGGGCCTCCAGAACAGTTGCCTGCCTGGCACAACACATGTAGTATGATGGAGATGTGTCCCGTGGCTTTTCCAGCCTGTTAAATCCCCGTCCTGAACTGACGGGAGCTATTTACCTGTGACTCATTGTGAAGCTTGATTCCCACTAGATCAGCATGGGCGCGGGCCTGAGGGGTTCTTGTCAATTATGTTTAGAGACCACTAAACTATTTTATATCAAAGAACTTTATCTTTTTGTGGATACTCTTATGTATATATACTCAAAGGCATTGTTCATATTTTTAGGGCTTCTATTATTGTAATTTGTAAGATTTTATGCTGGATTCTGCATGGCTATATATACTCACTCTTGGAATAAAGACAGGGCTTGCTTGCTCTTCCAGATATGAGCAGACTTTATAGAGGAAGACAGGTTTATTGGCTTGGTCATAAAGTAACAAATGGTCACACTGATCATGAAATGAAACAGGTTTTGTGCAAATTAACGTAGTTTCTTATTTATTGCTTTTGTAAATTGAATAAAAATGGAGTTTTATGTAAATAGGCTGCTGAATCCTGTATTATCACGGCTAACTAAAAATTAGTATGTAAAGAATGCATTCTTCATTGTACTTTTTAAAATATTTTATGTATTTCTAGATATGACTTAATTTTAGTTTTCATACATTATGAAAACTGCATACTCCTTAATTTTCAGACTAAACACATATCCACTATATGTACTTCTAATTACCTTATAACAGTATTAATTTAGATAGCTTGTTTGTACTGTGCAATTTGAACAAAGGAATGCAATGTTATTTTTTACAAAAACAAACTTGTTTATTTTTATAACAATGTATTTGATGTGGACCAAATTCATACCACTATGTAAAACAGCCTCTCTTCTCTTAGTGCAATTAGTTTAGAAATAAATGGTCCTTTATCCTTGTTTTCCTAGCCAGGTTTCCTTTGAGGGGAAGCTCAAAACCATTTTGAAATTGCTTAGTTCAGAATTCATCAAACTGTTTTTAAATTATTTGGTTTGGTATTTACCATCAGTTACTTTTTACATTACAAGTGCAATAATTTCACATACTGAAACTCCTGAATGGATGGAATATGTGATTTCTGGTACCTGGTCCTTCTGGTGCTACCTTTATTTAAGCCTTTGTTTTAAACCACCTTTCCCTGAATCTTAAGATAGGAATGTTTCCCATGTGAGTACATCATGCAGCTCAGCAAGAAACAACTGAAATTTCCCGCCCTGCCCTAGTCCACCAGGAGAAGAGCTAGCGTTACTTTTGTGCTTGGTGTGAATATGCAGTCAATAAAAATGATTTACCATTGTAAACAGCTGTGATCTTTTCAAATATCCTAATGTGCTGCTGGGTTTATCTTGCACTCTCCAAAGCAGGGCATCAATAAGAGTTGTGTTCCTGTGGTTAATGCTATAATTGAATCATCTAGAAAATACTTAGTTTTTCAACTAATAGGAATGGGCCACCCAAGGCCAAAAAAAGCAAATTTACAGAAAATTTTTGTCAATTTGTTATATAATTTTTAAAAACTCATATTTTTGTTTGGTTCACATATTAACTGTTTAAGCCATAATTTTAACCAATGAATTTAAATATTCAATATAACTATTTGGAGTTTAAATTATTTGCTAGTACCAAAACGAGAAGTCATTTGGGGGTAGAGTCAACCTTTGCTTGTAATTAAAGTTGCTGCTACTTCTGTAATGTGTATTTTTTTACTTGGTAAAGGGCAATAAAACCATTACATGAACCTTTGTTTGTTCACAATCTCAAGTTAACAGCAAAAAGTATATGTATTAAAAGCCACATAAATATTCTTTTGATTGTATAATTCCACCTCTTAGAACTTACGGAATAACTTAGAAATTCAGAGACTTAATGTTTATTTATATGCAGAATTAGAGTTGGCAACATCCCAGATGTCTGACAGCACAAGATTGGAACAGACAGCCCATGTTGATAACATGGAAAGTGTTTGAAATGTAATTTAAAATGGTACAAAATCATGCATACCATGTAATTTCCACCAAATAAAACGATATGTAAAAGTGTAGAGGAGACGAAGTATCATCTCTAATAGGTGGGATTAACAATGATTCTGACTTATTCCTGTTGTCCTGTATTCCTAAATGTGCGGTCTCTGTGGATGTGCCTGTACTGGACATTTCATATAAATGGAATCATGTAATATGTGGCTTTTTCTGTCTGGCTTCTTTCACTTAGCATGATGTTCGTCTTTGTATATCAGTACTTCATTCCTTTTTAAGGCTGGATAATATTCTATTGTATGGACATACTACATTTAAGGAATTGGGTGGTTTCCGCTTTTTTACGATCATGAAAAATGCTACTGTTAACATTTCATGTTCAAGTAGTTTCTGTGTGGACATTTTCAGTTCTGTCCAGGAGTGGAAATGCTGAGTCATATGGTAACTAGTTTGAGGAAATGCCTAACCGAATCCCAAAGCACCTGTGCCGCTTTTTTAAAATTCCAACTAGCAGAGGAGAAGGGTTCCAGTTTCTACCATCAATATTTGTTATTGTTGCATTTTTGGTTATAGCTATTTGTATTAATATATGAAGTGATAGTGTCTCATTTTGGAGTTGCATTTCCCTTATGGCTACCTTTTCATGATTATTAGCCATTTGTCTATCTTTGGATAAAAATGTTCACATCTTTTGCTCATTTCACAGTTGGGTCATTTATCTTTCAATTGTTTTTGTAAGATTTTTTGTATCGTTTGGATACTAGATGCTTATCAGATACAGGTTTCATTCCCCCACTATCCAAAAGGAGTGTGTTTCTATGAAGCCTTTTGTAAACCGAAATGGCATCAAGCAAAGAGTGCCCTCTGCTTTCTGAAAGTCTGTGCTGTGGCATTTGGCTTTTTTGAAAGATCTACATTAGTACGTAACAGCTTTTTTCATAAAAGTGAAAATCCTGATTTCTTTGACTTAGCAAAAACATGTACTAATGCCAGTATTTTCTACTAAGAGTTTTATATATTTAGCTTCTATATGTTGGTCTTTGATGATCCATTTTGAGTTGATTTTTTGTGTTTTATGAAGTGAGGACCCCCTAACTTTGTTCTTTTGTATGTGAATATTCAGTGTCCCAGAACCATTTACTGAAGATTTTTCCCCAATTGAATTGTCAAAGCTCAAGAGATTATAAATGTATGGGTTTATTTCTGGACTGATTGTACTGCATTGATGTATGTGTCTGTTCTTAATGCCAGTACCACACAGTCTTGATAACTGTTGCTCCTTTGTAGGACGTATTGAAAGTGTGAGTCCTAAGTTTGTCTCAAGATTGTTTCGGCTATTCTGGGTCCCTTGCACTTCCATAGAAAATTTAGGATCAGCTTGTCAAGCTCTGAATGTGCACACACAAAAGACTGGCATTTGATAGGGACTATATTCAATGCATAAATCAATTTGGAGAATATTGCCATCTTAATATTAGGCCTGCCAATCTTGACCATAATGTTCAGCAACGTTTTACATAGTTTGCATTGTAAAAATCTTGTACTTTTGTTAAGCTTGTTCCAAAGTATTTTCTTCTTCTCAATCTATTGCAAATAGAATTATTTTTGGATTGTTCTTTGTTAGTATGTAGAAATACGATTTCTGTATATTGATTGGTATTGGATCCTACAACACAACTGAATTCATTTATTAATTGTTATAGTTTTTTGTGGATGCCGTAGGATTTTCTATATAGATCATATTGTCTGCATCTAATCTGGATACCTCCCACCTAACTGCCCTGGTTAGAACCTCCAGCACAATGTTCAACTGAAGTGAGCAGTGGATAGCCTTGCCTTCCTTCTGATCTTGGGGGGGAAGCAGCATTCCGTCTTCAAGCACAAATTATTTTTTCATAGATGATTTTTATTAGATTGAGCAAGTTCCCATCTATTACTAGTTTGTTGAGTGTTAGGCTTTGTCAGCAATTTTTTTGCATCTATTGAGATGATCATATTGTGGTTTATTTAATATGATATATTGCATTGATTTTTTTCAGGTATTAAACCAGCTTTGCATTCTTGGGATAAATCCCATTTGATCATGGTATGGGGTAAACTTGGAGAAAAGAAAGTATCAACATGTTATATTTTTACAAATCAAATAATGGAGTAGTATCAAAAATATATATTGATGTACTTCAAAATGGGTTAGGATGTTTTAAAAATAAAAAGACATAAAGAGGCATCAAGTGCATTTTGGCTTTATTGGCCATAAATTACACAAAGTGTATTAGGAATGTCATTCATATGTTACACCTTGTACCAAACTGTTTTGAGGAAATTCACTCAAAAAAATGAAGTAACTTGCACAGTGGGTAATCTGTTCCGGGGCGTGTGGTGCCCTTTCCTTGGGTGAAGATTAGAATGAGCTCTCTGAATGAAAGACAACGTCTTCCCTCCTATCTCTATCCCCCAACAAAAGACCATTTTTATTAGCCCAATGGATATGATTTAAGACTGCTGTAAATGTGTTGAAGCTCAACATTTACCAAATATCGGTCATTAATTTCTGTGAAATTCAGATGCACAACCTCATTCCACAGCAAAAAGGATTCCAGTTTAAGTAAACATTTCCATGTTGAGTTCTCTGCTCACATGAGCCATCTAGACCTTTAAACAGCTTCTTTTAAGAGAGACTTTTAAAAAGCTCTTTGACTTGAAATAACTTCAAATATGAGGACACAGACAATAAAGATCTATTTTTCTGTTAAAGATACTAACTAGTATATTAAAAACTTTATTTCAGTAACATTGTAAGGCAACAGTTAATCCTCAAGTCAACAAATCAGTGAAAAGAAATGGGTAGACATAATCATTCTTCCTATCGCTTCCTGAGTCAGCAGGCTGGGTATATGGCCCCCTCAGTGGTAATATTTTAAGAACCCTATCATGCTACAATCATTTTTAGGTCTACACAGTAAATTTTAAAGAATCCAGCCCAGCTGGTGTAGCTCGGTGGATTGAGCATTGTCCCATGGACTGAGAGGTCCCGGTTTGAACCCCAGTGCGGGAGACAGCTGAGTGTTTCTCTCAAAAAAAAAAAAAAAAAAAAAAAAATCCACATATTTAAAAAGGAAAAATAGTTATTCATTTGAAATCACAATTCTTTACACTTTCCCTGAATGTGCAATACTGTGCTATTTACATTTACATTTCATAGGAAATAATGTATTTTAGAATTTGAAAAGACTCTTTTAGAAATGAGTTCTTCAAATGATCAGATACTAAGAAAACTACTAAATTCATTTCAGAGGCTGCTGATCTGACAGTGGTTTGCTTATTAAAAGAGCCACGCATATTGAGTTACTTAACCATTTCTGCCACTTGAAACAATCTCCCAGAAACTAGTGAGCATATTGTTACTGACTTTGCATAATATGGAAGCTTTATAATGCTAAAGAAAACAAAAGAGAATGTTTACATATGAAGAAAATTCAAGGCAAAAAGAAAATCGTGATTGTTACTGATAAAAGGGAGTAACAACATCCTTCCAAGGGGAAAAAAAATCACAAGTTATAACACTTGGGGTTTGCCTTTTTTTCCAAAAATAATTTTTGGTAATCTCAGATTACAGGGACAAAAATATGCTTGAACAGTCATCCCTTAGACTCCAGGTGGGGTGGTGGTACAGCACCCCCTTGGATCCCAAAACCCACGATGCTCAAGTCCCATATATAAACTGTCATAGTATTTGCATAGAGCCTACATCCATCCTCCCATATACTTTAAATCATCGCTATATTACTTATACCTAATACAATGTAAATAGTAGTTGTATTGAATTTTTTAAGGACAAGGTAAAAAGTGTACATGCTTAGTACTGGTGCAACCATTGTAGACCTAACTACGCAGTATGCGTTAACAATAACTTTTTTCCCCTGAATATTTTCCAACCAGCAGATATGAAGGACTGTGTTTTGAAATTCTTGAGCTACTATATTACCATTTCTAACTTTTCCTCCACAACTTTGATTCCATACAAGCTATAAACACTTTATTCCACCTGACAAATTCAGAAATCTGGCCTGAGGAAGAAATGTGGCAGGAGTCAGGCACTTGGAGCCAGTCGTATGTGGTTTCTCCAACGTGAGAGAAAGGGAAGGCTCCAGTGTCCATGCATGTCACGACCAGAACGTTACCTTTCAGCTCAGATCAGGCAGCCAGTCTGAGGAGCGTGATGGAGAAACCACATGGGCACTGCACAAGCAGCTTCAAGAATAATAATGCATACTTACTATACTCTGTTAAAATGAATCCAAGTTCCAATTTTTAAATTTTTCCTATGACTTTTCTTTTAAAATGTTTCAGGGGGTGGGGGGAGCTATGTTTACTAAACTCAGATTTTGTCCAATTTTTTTTAACGGAAAACAGCAAGCTAGCAAAATTTACCACGGATCTCAGCAAACCCTCCCACTGCCGGAGCCAGGAGTCCGCCAGGCACCGCTGTGATTGCCTCACACACTGCACAGCACCGCCTCCCGGTCCTAGGGTTGCCGTTATGCAGGATCTGAACCCCAACAGCTCTAGGTACAGGGATATCAGTCCAGTGCAAGCCACAACTTTCAGGGAAGCCTAGTCTGCCGGACAGTAAGTTACTGAGAAACCAGTCTGTTCAGAAGATTGGAAAATAGACAAAAACAATGACCAAGTGTGTCAATAAAATTATGCCCTTAAGGATTAACCTTGGATAACAGAAAACTCCCTCCTACAAAACAAGACAATAAATATTTATAAAATGCTCTGCCACTATCACCCCACGCTCCTCCCCTCCCAGAATAGCCGCCATGGCAACTCGGTGCTCTGAGACAGGAAGTTAATTTAAGTTCCTATACTGGCACAAAAGTTCTGAACCAAAAGAACCTGTGAAAACCCAAGGAGAATACAGCATTGAGAAGGTAGGCAGGGGGACAAATAGGGAAACAGGCACTGAAACAGCTTTGGAAAAGTGTCATGACGATCAGGAACCACCAGCTGAACCACCAGCTGAGCACGGGCCTCCACATCAGGGGTCCTGGGCTCCACTGGAGACCAAGCACATGCCGGACGCTGCTCAAGCAGCACAGCTCCCGGCAGGGCTGGGACCTCAAAGCCCAGTGCTGCTTCCCTGGCCCTGTTTGTAACAGCTTCCTAATGACACAGACTCAAGGGGAATCCTCACTCCAGCAACTGACGATTTACCCACCATCCACCGCACAACAAAGGGTCTTGGGTTTTAATTGGAAATGTCATCTGTGTCATTAACAATGGTATTGTAGTACTTTCAACGTCTTTCATAACCCTCAGGGGACAAATGTTGAAGTGGTGTGTTGGCTTTTGTCCTTAGGTCATATAAAATGACGTGAGTGTAGTGGCAGTACCCACATGTGCTTAAGTGCCAGAAAGCGACATTTTCAAGTGTTGAAAAGACTATGTTACCCCACAGCATAACCACTATAGTGCTTGGCCCTGAAGAGTGTTAGCCCACAAAGATCTTTGGACATTTGCTCACTAAAATTCATTGACTTACATTACAAATATCCATGTAGCATAAGGACAAGCCATGTCACCCGACGTATCCCACTGGGAATTTACTTAGAGAGCATTCACAGGATTAAAACACATAAAGATTGTAGGTGCACACCCAGGCGGAAGGAAATGTCCAATCTGGGAACTTCTCCTTCAGAGCATCCAGCTGGGAGGATCTCTTGTCTTCCCCAGAAAGATAGTGGGCAGCAATGGCCAGAGTGACTACTCCCTCAGGCTGTTCTTCCAAGACCTGGCAGAGAAAATTAGTTTAGCTCTGTGAAGGCAGAATACGATCCCAAGTATTCGATACTTGCCAAATGCCACCTGGGAACCCAATCAGTATGCCAGCAGTGCTGGGAAATCCCCACCTGTACTTCTATCCAGAACTGCCACGCAGAGGCTTGGAGTCCATGGGAGTAAAATACAAAATAGTCCCCTCCTTTACTTGCGACGGGGGTACCATTGCCAAGAGACCACTGAGAAAGTGTTGACCCTTTGTGGGTTCGAACATACAATGACATATGGCTTGGTCCTGTAACATAAGAGGAAGAAACGTCAGTTATAACTATCTTTTAAAAAGCATCAACAAGAAAAGCAGTTAAGCCATCACTTGAAATGATACAAGTTTATGCCTTTTGTCACTTTAAAAACACTCATTGCGAACCAAATGGAGGTTTGCCAGTTTGGGTTGTCGGCGTATGTCAACAAGGGTAAGGAATGAGGTGCAACAGAAAAGCACATACAGTGAGAAAACCTGGGTTCACGTCTTGGCTGTTTCCCTCTCTCTCTCTCCCTCCCACTCTGTCTGTACAAAAAATGGAAAAATGTCCTCGGATGAGGATTAAAAAAAAAAAAAAAAAAGAACTAGAGCAAAATAACTGAGGCTGAGGATTTTAATATATCCAGATATATTACTAAGACAAATATTGAGGTGTGTGAGGATGGAAGACTAATGTACAAGTGCTGCGTGTAACAAACATGAGGGAAACGGAAGTCTCAGTAGCACACTAACCAACACAGATAGTGAAAGGTTAAATAATAAGTGATCAAAACAAAAAATATAAACTTTAAGTGCCAGAAAACATTTTTTAAAGAGCAAAGAAAACATCACAGAAAAAGGAATAAAACACTGATAAAGGCTGAAAGCATTAGTCATAACATGTCAATAGATGTAACTCAGCCACTAAAAGAAAAAAGATTTTGACTTAGCTTACAAAGCCAGACCTAATCATACTATATTCAAGGAACAAACTTAATGTAAGATTCAGAAAGGGTAAAAATAAAGGTATGAACAAAGGTATTTCAGGCAAGTGGACACAATGTTTCAAAAAAATTTTTCCTTATTGTTTGTCAGAGAGGAAAGGAGAGGGAGAGAGAGAGAGAGAAACATCGACGTGAAAGGGACACACCACCCGCACAACCCAACCAGGGCCGGGGACAAACTGCAACCGAGGTACGTGCCCTTAGCGGGAACCGAACCTGGGTCTCTCCGGACCGCAGGCCAACGCTCTAACCGCTGAGCCAAACCGGCCAGGGCTGTATCAAACTTTAAATGCTGATAATACAGAATATATCATCTCAAGTGGGCATAAAACATTCATAAAAATAAAATATTAGCGCTGGCCAGTTTGGCTTAGTGGTTAGAGCGTCGGCCCGTAGACCAAAGAGGCCAGGGTTCAATTCCAGCCAAGGACATGTAGCTCAGTTGTGGTTCGTCCCCAGCCCCGGTTAGGGTCGTGTAGGTGGCAACCAGTCAATGTCTGTTTCTCTCTCTCTTTTTTTTCTCTCTCTCCCTCCCTCCCATTCTGTCTCAAGATAAATGTAAAAATAAATAAATAAATAAATAAAACACTGAGGCTTAATAAAAAATAAAATATTAGGTCACTAAAGAATAAAGTAAATAACTGATCATAAGTCAATAAAACTTGAAACTATCAAAACAGCTGTCTACTTAAAATTAAAGGTCTTCTATTTAAAAGACTCATGGGTAAGAGAGGCAATAGAAACAATAATTATGGAATTTTTTTAAATGACAAAAATACTACACATGCCAGAAACTCAGAAACTATTGGATATGGGTAAAGCAGTGATAAGAGGAAAACCCATAGCAATAAACACTGTTTGCAGTACAAATAAAAGAATAAAATGAGAAGTAAAAAAGGACAAAGTAAAAAGAATGCACAAGTTAGGAAATACAGATAAAAGCAGAAATCAATAAAATGGAGAATAGAACAAATCAGACCCACCTTAAACAATGAAGTCTTAACAAGACAATCACTAGCTAACTTGATTAAGAAAGAGGGGCTGGGGGTGGGGAGTGAAGCAACAAACAAGCATGCAAAGAGAAATAAAAATTAAACAGAAGTCTATAAATCACATGTGACTACTTTGCAGACCTCTATACCAATAACTTTTAAAACACAGGTAAAAAGGATACTTTTCTAAGAAAATATAGGTGACCAAAACTGAACACATCTATAAAGCTTAAGCAGACCAAATACCCTAGAAAAAGTTATTTTTAAGAAGTTACCCCATAAAAAAGACACACCAGGCCCGGATGGTTTCAGAGAAATACAAGCCAACTTTTCAACCAGACAGTTCCAGTGCTTCATAAACTGTCCCAAAGCATTGAAAATTAAGGAAAACTTACCCAACCATTTTCATGATGTATAACATTTATGATGTTCTTACATTTATAATACATAACACTGATGCTTAAATCTGAGAGCATATAAAACACACACACAGGCCAGTATCATTCATGAGCACTGATGCAAAATTTATAAACAAACATCCAAGATCACATTAAGAAAATAACAGGCCATGACCTGATTGAATATATCATACTAAAATATCTAAGGAAGAAAAAATTATGATTATCTTTATAAAAGGCTGAAAGATCCTCTCACAAATTTTTTTTTAAAAAATTCAATAAAGAAAAACTGATGAATGCTTAATTAACATGACAAAAAATAATCTACCTTAGTCCTAAGGCTAGTGTCTTACATAATGGGAAAACACTAGAGACCTCTGTACTGATATCAAGAACAAGACAAGACTGCTATCTCAACAACTGTTCTACACTATGCTAGAAGTAGTAGCCATTTATACAAATCAATCAGAAGCATAAGAATTGGTAAAGAAGAAATAAAACTACATTTGCAGATGGTATGCCGTGGCCAGCAAGCTATACCTCAGGCCTATTTTTATATAACTCTCAGGCTAAGAAAGGTTTATATGTTTTTATCTAGTTCTATTTATTAATCTATTATTTTCAATTCTTACCTGAGGATATTTTTTATTGATCTGAGAGTGAGAGGGAGAGAGAGAAACCTTGTTGTGGGAGAGAAACATCAAGCAGTTGTGTCCCGTACATGCCCTGACCAGGATTGAGCCTGCAACCTTTTTGGTGTACAGGACAACGCTCCAACCAACTGAACCCTGAACCACCCAGCCACACTAGAGTGGTTTATATGCTTTTAAAGAGTGGTTGTTTAAAAAATGAATCTGCAACAGAGACATATGGAAAAGTCTAAAATATTTACTATCTGGCCCTTTAAAGTTTGGCAATTCCTGGTAAACCTGGAGAACCCTACAGTATCAAGATTAACTCAAAAAATAAAAGATTCAGTGAGGTAGCAAGATAAAAAACTGACATACAGAAGTCAATTGCCTTCATACATACTAATTATAACCAGTTAAAACATATACTGGTAGAGAAAACTTCAATTAAAATAGCAACAAAACCTCCATAGGAAAAGTTTTATAATACTCTTGAGAGACACAAAAGTAGGTTTGAACAAATGAAAGGACATTCCAAGTTCACAGATAAGGAGACTCAACTTTATAATGTCAGTTCTCCTTAATTTATAAATGAGTATTACTATATTCCTTCAAATACCAATTAGTACATTTACCATTAGAGTTAATACTAAAGTTCATAAGGAAAAACAAACCCTGAAAGACAAAAACTACAAAGGATCTTAACTGTCACAATCACTAATCTATAAGCTTCTATAATTTAAAGTGTGGTAACTAGTGCACAGATAGACCTACACATATACAGTCAATTTTTTTTTTTCTGATTTCTTGACGTGTAATCACAAAACACAGGGCGGTAGATGTGCAACTTGCCTGCCAGGAATTTGCATTTTAATGGAATTCTCCAAATTGTACATAAAGTATAAAGGTTTGGATATTTTTTGTGCTTCCTTTTTACAGGCTGGTGATTAAATAAAATTAGAAATACTTATTAGCATGAACAAGAAAACCAATAAGTGCAAAATAAATTTATTTCTAGTTAAATTTTAAAACCCTAGAGAATAAAAGTATTCACCTTCAAAAGTGTCAGCTAAGGCATTTAATTCCCATTAACTACCAAACAGAACCTTGACCTCTGGCCTCATATCATACCCAAAAATTAATTCAAGATGGATTATAGGCCTAAACATAAAGGCCAAAGCTATAAAAATTCTAAAAGAAAATATAACAATCTATCTTTGTGACCTCTAGGTAGGCAAGAATTTTTGGAGAGGTCATATAAACCTGATAAACTGGACTTCATAAAAATTTAAAACTTCTACAAATCAAAAGATACCATTAAGAAAATGAATGGGTGAGAAAATCTTGATAACATATACTTGATAAAGGGTTTTCTCCTGGAACATATAAACTCCTACAAGTCCATAAGCCCAATTTTTATTTTTATTTACTTTTTATTAATATTCTGCCTCTATTAGTCTTTTTTAATTGAATTTGTTGTGGTGACACTGGTTCACAAAATCATACAGGTTTTAAGGGTACAACTCAATAAAATATCATCTGCACACTGCATCGTGTGCCCATCTCCCCAAGCAGTCTCTTTCTGTCCCCATTCCCCACGCCCCTGTGCCCACGTCCACCTAGCCTTTTAAAAGGGAAAAAGACATGAACAAAGCAAGATATATGAATAGCCAATAAGCACTTGGAAAAGTATTACATGTCACTATTACAGAAATGCAAGAGGTACTACTAAACACCCACTAGAAATGAAAAATACAAACAACAGCATTAAATATTTGTGAGAATGGAGCAACTGGAACTTTGATATACTAGGGAGTGAAAAAATAAAATAGTTATAAAGTTAAACGTAAGTCTACCCTCTGAACCCAACAATTCCACTCCTAGATATTTTCCAAGAGAACTGAAAATACACATTCCTGTAAAGCCTTGTACAAGAATGTTCACAACAGCTTTATTCACATTAGCCCCACACTGGACACTACCCAGGAGCCCATCAACAGGAGAATGATAAATTATGGTCTATCCATACACCGAATATGACAGCATAAAAAGGAACAAAATACTGATGATGCTCAGAAACAACACAGCCCATCTCAAAAACATTATGCTGGATGACCCAGACCCAGAATGTTACATATGGTATGATTCCATTGCTATGAAGTTCAAGAATGGGCAAACGATCTGTGAATGTGGAAATCAGAAGAGTGGTTGCTACTTAGGGTCAGGAAGACTGAATGGAAATGTGTGTAAGGGAACTTTCTGGGGTGATAGAAATGTTTTATGTCTTGATAAGCATTACATGGGTACATGTATGCCTTTATGAAAACTAATGGAACTATATCAGATCTGTACATTTCACTATATATAAATTAGGCTTTTAAAAAGATCACTTTTTTGTTGTTAATCCTCACCCAAAAATATTTTTCCATTTTTAGACAGAATGGAGCAGAGGAAGGGAGAGACACATCTATGTGAGAGAGACACGTCGATTGGTTGCCTCCCGCATGACCTCGACGGGGGCTGGGGATCAAACTTGCAGCCCAGGTATATGCCCTTGACCAGGAATCAAACTTGAAACCCTTTGGTCCACGGGCCGACTCTCTAACCGCTGAGCCAAACCAGCCAGGGCTGGCACTGATTTTTAAATACAATACCGAAAGCAATAAATTTAAAAATGTATGCTCTGTGAAAAACATTAAAAGAATGAAAAGAACAAGAAGCCAGACTACAAGAAAATACTTGCAAAGCACTTATCTGATAAAGGATCTATATCCTTATGTACAAAAGAACTCTTAAATCTCAACAATAAGAAAAAAAACAACCCCAACCCAATTAATAAATAGACAAAAGACCAGAACAGACACCTCACCAAAGAAGATATACAGATGGCATATGAAAAGATGCTAAGCATCATACATCATTAGAGAACTGCAGATTAAAACAATGAGATGCCATAATGGCTAAAATCTAAAACACTAACAGCACTAAAAGCTGTTGAGAACGCAGAGCAACAGGAACTCTCCTTCACTGCTGGTAGGAAAGCAAAACGGTACAGCCACTCTGGAAGACAGGTTGGCAGTTTCTTACGAAGGAAAACACAGGGTTACCATACCATCCAGCAGTCGTGTCCTAGGTATTTGTCCACATAAGATGAAAACCATACAGAAGTCTATACAAAAGTCTGCACACAAATGTTTACAGTGGCTTTATTCCTAATTGTCAAAAACTGGAAGCAACCATGTTCTTCAGTAGGTGAATGATAAACTGTAGTACATTCATAATGTTATTTGGCAATAAAAAAATTTTAAAAAATGAGCTACAACCCAGCTGGTGTGGCTCAGTGGTTGAGCGTCTACCCATGCACCAAGAGATTGCTGGTTCGATTCCAGGTCAGGGCACATGCCCAGGTTGTGGGCCCGATCCCCAGTGGGGAGCATGCAGGAGGCAGCCAATTGATATTCTCTCTCATCAATGTTTCTCTCTCTCTCTCCCTCTCTCCCTTATTCTCTCTCTCAAATCAATAAAGAAAAAAATAAAAGAGCTATCAAGCCATTAAAACATGAAGGAACCTAAAATGCATATTACTAAATGAAAGAAGACAATCTAAAAAGGCTACACTCCTATATGATTCCCAACTGTATGATATTCTGGAAAAGGCAAAACAACAGAGACAGTGAAAAGGTCAGTGGCCTCCAAGGGGAGTAGGGAGGAAGTGGAGCATAGAGGTTTTAGGGCAGAGAGCCTATTCTGTATGATATTGTGATGGTGGCTACATGTCAAAACCCACAGAACTGGACAACACAACGAGTGAACTGAACCTTAATGTAAATCAAGGGCTGTAGTTAATAATAATGTGTCAATATTGGTTCATCATTTATAACAAATGTACCACACTAATGCAAGATGTTAATAATAGAGGAAGCTAACTGGGGGAGGGGGGGGCACAAAGGGGGAGGGAGATGTGGGAATTCTACTTCCTGCTCAATTTTTTCAGTAAACCTAAAACTGTTCTAAATATAAAGTCTATTAAATTTTCTTTAAGAAATCATAATCAGCAGCAATTGCTTTCAGAAACACTAAGCTAGTGGTCAGTATTATAAATTTGAGGTGAAAACATTCATGCTTATTTAAAAATTTAAGAACTGGCCTGGCTGGTGTGGCTCAGTGGATTGAGAGTTGTTGTCCCATGGACTGAGAGGTCCCCGTTTGATTCCCAGTCAGGGCACATGCCCAGGCTGCAGGCTCGATCCCCAGTAGGGGGCGTGCTGGTGGCAGCCGATGGATGTCTCTCTCTCATATTGATGTTTCTCTCTCTCTCTCCCTCCACTCTCTCTCTAAAGAAATCAATAAAAACATTTAAAAATAAAATAAAAGTTTAAGAACCGAAAGCAAGAAGAAAAAACTGTCATATGACTTACCTGATGCTTCAAAGGTCAACTTTATAGAATCCCACGGTGTCTGTTCTTTGGATATAAGTCTGAAATTAACAGGTTCTCTTGGAGAAACTTCTGGAGCAGGAAGATACCAGTTTTTCCTATTTGGAAAGGAATTCAATATTCAGTATTGCAAATATTTAGGATGCTTGTGTTAAGAATATATGAAACACATTTTAAGGCATGAAAATAAACTCTGGTGGATATAATAATGTCAATACCTCTAAATCCCAGGTTATTGCAGAATAAAACTTTCCCAAAGTTAAGAATAAAGAATCATAGGTGACAACCTTGATTCCATTACCCAAAACTATTTCTTCTCATCTAATCCTTCACTGTCAAATAATAAAATTTCCCAGAAATGAAACAGTTCACACTTGACACTTGATACTATCTATTAGATCAGTTAAGAGGGCAATCCTTTCTAACTATTGAGATTTCCAGAGGAAAGACTTTCTAAATTTGGAAAAAGCAAAATTACACTTCTTAGTGCTTCATCCCACTAAAGAAATAGAACTTTTGCAGTGATAGAAAAAAAAAAAGTGTAAACAGCACTTGACTTCTGTGTTAACCAGTTCAAATAATGAAGTGCTGATACAGTGATAGGACGTGAGAACAAACTAACCCCCAACTGCAGTAGGAGAGTAGTGAACCGACCTGATCAGAAAGTGCACTGGAAGGTACCACGGGAAACCACAGAGGGGTGCTTTCTCCTCACAGTGAGCTCGGATGGTGTCATTGATCTCCGGAATGTGAGGTGTGATGTGAGACATTCCGGTGTAATCAAACCCATTGATCCATATTCCAGAGTCCCGTTTAACTACTTTTCCATCCAAGTCATGAAATGTTCTTGTCATATGCTGAAAAGAACAAGACTAATGAGAAAACTACTGTTTCAACTCCTTCACCCACAATCCCCACTGCAGACTAACAAAAATTAGTAAATCTGACAATACCAAGAAATCAGGTGGCAGTGGAGCGCCAGGGACCCTCATACCACTGGAGGGAGCGTGTACTGCACAATCCCCTCAGGAAACTATTTAGCATTACCTAATAAAGCTAACATGCACATACCCTTCAAGCTAGCAATTCCACTCCTAAATATGTACCTTAGAGAAACTTTTGCAAGGTACAAGAGTGTTGATTCAACATTGCACATCACAGCAAAAACTGGAAACAACCCAAATGTCCATTAACAGTAGAATGAGCAGACAAACTGGGGAGTCATCCTACAACAGAAATCTGTTCAGCAAGGAAAAATAATGCACTATATTGACACAAGTCAACATAGAAGATTCTCACATGCTCTTGGGAAAAAGAATATTTATGGGATGGCTTTATATGTAAGAAATTCAAATACATGCAAAACTATATGTTGTTGTTTTAGGGCTTTATACATATGTGGTAAAATAAAGAAAAGTAAGGTAATGATTAACTCCAACCTTCAAGATGTTGGGTGAGTACTTTTTGGGGGGCTGGGGAGAGGGAGAGGCGGGGAAAGAGTTGGATCAAGAAGGGATGCTTGGGTTTTCTTAGGTACTGTTAATGTTTTTTCTTTTAAACTCAAAGATGGATTGTTTTATTATTTCTTACAAATATATTTTGGTTTTTTGTCTTACTTTTTCTTACAAATACATTTATATATTTGAATTTCATATAAAAGTTTTGAAAACCATGGACACTAGAACTCGTTTTAGATGAGGGCTTAAAACAAATAGTGTACACACACACCTTTCCCTTTCAGTGATACATGAGGCTAATTCATGTGCAGAGAAAAACAGGAATTACAGCTCACCGATATGACTTGTTAATCAGACTTGTGCCTAACAATTTTAGGGAGGGGCACCCTCTTCCATCTGGAATAGCTTTATTACCAACAGAAAGCAGCCTAAAGAATATCATGGGAAAGAAAAAGGATTGCCAGGACGGGTCAGTAACTATAGCCTACAAGCCAAATGGTGCACTACCATTTTTTTTGTTGTTAATCCTCACCCAAGGATATTTTTTCCACTGAATTTTAGAGTAGAGGAAGGGAGGAGAGAGAGTGGGGGGAGGGGTGGAGAGCGGGAGAAATGTGGATGTGAGAGACACATTGATTGGTTGCCTCCCAAACATGCCCTGACCAGGGGCCAGGGATTGGACCTGCAACCCAGGTACGTGCACTTGACTGGGAATCTAACCCAAGGTCCTTCAGTGCTCGGGGCAAACCCAAGATCCTTCAGTGTGCAGGCCAACGCTCTAACCATTGAGCAACACCCACTAGGGCTCTATTATTTTTATAGATAAAGCTTTACTGGAACATAGCCATACTCATTTTCTTAGGTACTTTCTGTGGCTGCTTTCACTTGTGAAAACAGCAGCTGCAACAGAGACCACCATGGCTGGAAGATCCTAAAATATTTACTATCTGGCCCTTTCCAGGGCAAGTTCACCAACTCTGGCACTGAGGAAGAAGCAAATCTCAAATCCAACCAGTACAGGAGTTTTAAAAAAAAAAAAAAAAAAAACCAAACCAAACAAACAAAAAAACCTGGCTTTTCCTAAATATTACTGATTTAATTAACTATAAAAGTTAGAAAGACATTATATTGTACACCGGAAACAAAATATTGTATGTTAACTATAATTTAAAAAAATTTTTTTTCAAAATTAGCATGTCATGGAAAACATTAAATCTCCTAAAAATCAGCTGTTCTTCACCAAGGGTTGTGCAAACTGTATACTGTCACATAAAATGTATCACTATGACCACTGGTGCAGCTCAGTGGATTGAACATGGGTCCATGGACTGAGAGGTCCCAGCCAGGGCACATGCCAAAGTTGCTTGATCCCCAGTAGAGGGCGAGCAGGAGGCAGCCAATCGATGTTTCTCTCTCTCTCTCTTGCCCTTATCCTCTCTGTAAAAAATCAATAAAAAATATATATATTTTTTAAAATGTATCTCTATGTTGGACATACTCCAGTATATACACAAGGAACAAGTTGGCTGTTTTTCAAAATCTCCTCTCTGATATTTAAGTTCAAATATTATTATTTATACAAGTCCTTGAATAATTATCTAGGTTGTGACTCTTGGCTTTTCTGTTGGGCCTCTCCATGACCTCTGCCAGAGAAGGTGACTTGAAATAAGGCAATAGTCTTTTTCCTACTGATAGTACCGGCTCTAAGAAGTTTACAGAAAAACCTGAAATCTAAGAAAATTCTAAATTTCATTTTATTAAACCCTTTCTAAATTATTATATTTTCATGGTCACATATTACTTTGAGCATATAAAATGTACCCTAAGATATCATTAACCCATGATACATATTTGCTCATTTTTCCAAGTTGGGTGCATTTTCACAATTTGAACAGTCATAAATACAACAAGCAGATATTTCCAATTTGGTCTCTTGGGAAATGTCTAGCTGGTAAGAATGCCTCCTGATGGTCAGTCTTTTCCTCACTGTCTTACACAGAACAGTCACGTACAACTAAATAGGTCAACAGAAGAAATGTCAGGTGGTTTTCCTGTTGACTAGTGAAGCTCAAAACACACAAGGCTTTCCTCTCCAGAATTTCAAATACCTCACGCAAAACTGCTCTTACCTGAAGAAACACTCTCTTTGGCTTCGGACTGGCAGGGTTGGAGCTGTACGGGAAAAACGTCCCACTGCAAACAAGCAGGAATGTAACTGTACATACCAAGGTTAAAGTCAGCATGGTTTTCTTTGTGCTTTTGGCAAGGTAGATGAAGTTAATCTAAAACATAAAATAGAAAAATTACCACTGGCAGAAACGTGGCTTTGACTTTATTTTGTGATGGGTATGATGTGACAGATAATGAAGAAAAGTTATCAGCATATGCTAATATACTGCAACACCCATAACAAGGCATTAATTGTAAGGGATTTCCATCACAAGTCAGAACCTAGCTAAATAAGAAATGTCCCCAACTGCCATGGTGGTGCCTTTTCTACAGGCAGCCAGACAGCAACAGGGAGAAGGAAACTGAAACAGTGTCTCTGCTCAGCGGGCAAAGAGACTAGAGGAAGTAGGTCCATCACCAGTCAAACCATGACCTCATTTTATTTCCTATTCTATCAATGTGCTGTTAACACCACACGGTAGACTACTTAACTACCAAAATATCACAGGCTTTTATTAAAGAAAAAGGCAAGCTTTTAAGCATAGATGGCCTAATTTCAATAAAACTCAAATTTCACTCATAATGCTTTCATATTGTGCTGAGGTGTTAGATTCCATTTAGATTAACTTTCAGGACTTTGCCTGTGCCCCTGTAAATGAGGAAAAACTGCCCTGTGGAGTCGTCCTGTCACACCCTCAGTGCTGGGTTTACCAGACTTGGGCAGGAAGAGTGTCTCGATCTGAAGGCAGCAACCAGAAAACGTGCTTACTAACTGTAAGGAAATCACTGAATTAAAAGTTGTAGGTGACACATGACTCAGATCCCCAGGTTCTGAAGGAACCACTGTGAGAGCCATGATCTAATCTCAGCTCCCCCTTTTGTCTTCTCCCCTTATCACCCATCCTCTAGGGTCCATAAGTAGAAACAAACATAAATATGAAAATATTTTTGAGATGAAAATATTAAGCAAATATTCATAGCCTACTATACACCTTACTACATAAAGTTAAAGAATTTTATATCTATAGTATAACAATATCCCATCCAGTATAATCTCCAGCAAAACAATACTAGTCATGGGTAAAAAACTTGTTTTCACACTGGGCATAGAAATAAGTTCCCAAGGATTCAAAGCAGTGAGTTGGCAAAACACAATTTGCTACCCCCCCATAACCATGTGTTCTAGCACAGGATAACCCCCAAGAAACTTGTTAACTGATCACTTGACAAGAATTTAACTGCTTGCTAGTAAATATATTTAATAAATCCCCAAGAACTAAAATGGGTTGGGAACCTTTTTTCTGCCAAGAGTCATATGGATATTTATAACATCATTCAAGGGCCATACAAAATTATCAACTTAAAAATTAGCCTGCTGTATTTGGTCAGGCTAATCTGGTGAGGTGTGTGATGTTAGCTGGTATTGATTTTGTGGGCCTTAAATGGTCCGAGGGCTAGACGTTCCCTACTCCTGGATTAAAAGAAAAGCTTTCTGAAATACGCATTGTGTTTCAATTCTCCATTACCCAAAGAGAATGAGCTCATTCTATTAATAAGTCACTGTCTTTAACTTTGCGACGCATAAGAAAATAACGAGGATAACCCACTGCATCAAAGAGCTGCAGAGCTATTTCACATAATGAAAATATGAGGTTTTAAAGTATTCCAAGAGGCACTCTTAATAAAAGCTTTCCTAATAAAATATAATTTAAAAAATAATATATTTTAATCCTCTTTCTTATGGTTTCCAAGATTCCATACTTTGGGGTAATTTTCAATTTCCACAGTGAAGTTTTCAGAGTTCATTTTGAATTCTTCCATGTGGAACAAAACTGAAATGCCCATTAATTGACTATGACTTAAATACTCTGGGGAGTCCAGTTCATAATTTAGCTGACTCTAGATTAGAAACTAATCTACATATGACAATATTCCACCACCTTTACTCCTCACAACAGCAAACCTATCTAGTAACATGTACAGAGGATATAAAGGCTTAATATTAAAACCAAAATAAGTAAATCTTAAAGGGAACAAGGAATGTTTTAGGATTTTCCCATCCATCTCTGCAAATACCAGTAAGGATTTAATCATTATATTAAAGGTGAAATGGCTGGAACTGGCTCAGATTTCTTTTAGGACTAGTACAACTGACCTCAAACAATAGTGTGCATAGGAATTACTCTACAGCACTGTTTATGCCGCTGCATATACAGCTATTTATTGGCTGCTACTTAAGGGACTTGTATGGATAATGCTGGTCATACATATGGTATTCTGATTGGTTGTCTCTAGATCCTAACATCCTCCACACAAGATGCCCTTTACTGTATCAATATGAAAAAGCTCACTATCATCTCCATGGAGGAAAGAACCATAATCAAGTCACTACTACTCTTGCTATTTGGTCCCCTAGCCTCAAATTTCAGAGTGTGCCTATGGGTATTCAGTAAGTACTTCTTGTTCTTAAGAATTCCAATGGCCCTGGCCGGTTTGGCTCAGCGGTTGGAGCGTCGGCCTGCGGTACAGAGACCCGGGTTCGGTTCCCGCTAAGGGCATGTACCTCGGTTGCAGTTTGTCCCCGGCTCTGGTTGGTCGTGCGGGTGGCAACCACTCGAAGTGTCCCTTCACATCGATGTTTCTCTCTCTCTCTCCCTCCTGCTCTATCTGAACAAAAAATGGAAAAATGTCCTCGAGGATTAAAAAAAAAAAAAAAAAAAAAAAAAAGAATTCCAATGAAAAGGGCCACACAACAGAGACCTGCCTCCCCTAAAGTGGCCAGGCCAGCGCCCCGAGTGCTAGAGAGTGTCTGCACCATGCCGAGAGCAGAACTCTGCTTGGACCCTGCTCCTACCCATGGGTCTGGTTGTCAACTCTGCATCATGTCTTTTCTTCCCTCTGGAGAGTCCCAGGGAAGAGAAACGGGGGTGGCAAAAGTAGGACTCTCTCACCCTGGCTGGTTTTGCTCAGCGGTTAGAGCATCAGCCTGCGGACCAGAGAGTCCCGGGTTCAGTTCCCACTAAGGGCATGTACCTCGGTTGCAGCTTGTCCCCAGCCCTGGTTGGGGTCGTGTGGGTGGCAGCCACTCGATGTGTCCCTTTCACATCGATGTTTATCTCTCTCTCTCCCTCCCACTCTATCTGAAGATAAAATGCAAAAATGTCCTCAGGTGAGGATAAAAAAAAAGTAGGACTCTCTGAGGGCAGAACACTGATAAAGCAAAATGACAAGCCTGTGATATTCTTTAGTTACTTGCTAAATAAAGGCATTTTAGATGTCGTAAGCGTACATCACTTAATAAGACAGACTCAATGAATTTGGCTGTGCTGTAGAAGTCAAGTAGTCTCATAATGGAAAAGCCTCATCAGAATTAGTCTTCCTTCACTAGCTCTAATAGCACTAATAAAACTACTATGTATTTATTATCACTGGCCTCTAATTAGTAAGTTCAAAACACACTATTAGGAATTATTCTAAAAACTCACCACCAAGCAATCTCTACCAATTCTCACTTAGTAAGCATTCTGCAAATTCACATTCAGGTACTTTGAAAAGAGGTATAATCAGAGGATTTGGGAGGGTGAGGGGGCAAAAATAATAACAAAAAGCCCATTCTACATTTTCTTACCATACCAAACCCACAGTATGCATAGTCATTTACTATTTCTTTTGTTTAAGAATTTCTCAATAAATTATAAGCAACACTATTTCATAGAATGATATGGCTAAATGCATCAGACATCTATATAAAAAATAAAGAAGATAATTAAAAAGCAAATTTTTCCTTACAAAATAAGAGGAGAGAATCATTGTACAACCAGCCAGAATGGAAGCCAGCACAACATCAGGTGGGATTTCTGAACCACTCCTCCCAAGGATGGGGGTAAACATCTCAAACACCGCCCAGATGAGGTACAAGGCATAAAGATATGGAATAAACATCCCCAGAAGGTAAAAGGCAATAAAGTTTCCTCGGGCACCTAGGGAGAGAGAGACAGAAACCACATATCTCTGAAATTCAAGAGTGAGATGTAGATTTTTATAGTACTGGTGTTCATTGGCACCTATCAGAAATTAGGTTACATGTGATTCTTGCCCTTTTGGTACATGTTATCTAGTGAGATAAACACTTTTACTCAGAGGCTAGAGTACAAATAAGAATTGAACAAAATACATTAAGTAATATATCAGCATGTGTTCATAAATGTGAAAATGGGATCAGGTATAAGGTATGAGGTAAAAATCTGCATGATCTAAAAAGTTTTTTTTAATTCAACAGTTTAGAAAACCTTCCCAAAAAGAACAAAAAAAGAAATAATCCCTGGAAGCCTTATCTTACATATTTTAAGGTATTTTTCCATTTGCATTAAAACCAAAAATACCCTACCATGCCGCTTAAAGTCCTTGTGCACGCAAAGCTTTGTGAGCAACGGAAACGCCACCCAGACAGCACTGATAAACGCAGAGCAAAATCCTCGGTAAGTGAAAGCTGTAAGGGAACCACAATGCACAAACAGCGAGATGTCAAAAAACACTTCTCCCAGATACTGGTCACTGGCATTCTGAAAGAAAGAAAAATACACAAGCAGTTTCATTCATAGGCCATTTGTAAAGATAACCTATTGTAATATAATTTCCACTGCTCAGAGAAGCTACACATTTTGCTTTAAGTAGGGTCTCTCCTTTAGATTAGACAAAGCTACCTCCTATTATGAATACATTCAAAATGCTGCACAGGAAAGGGACACTTAACAAGATGGGGGAGAAAAACATTATTACTTGTATATAATCTGTGCTTTTCCTCCACTGGGCTATAAGTAAACTTTGGAAATGTTATAAAATAGAAAAAGAAGTTTCCTAAAAACATTCACCTCTGTAAACTTTCCTACTTATACAACCTGCAAAGAATTTCAAGCCACCTAGAGAAATGACCTATGAAGGACAGTACAGTCAACCCTCCTTATCTGTGGGTACTGCACCAGATGGATTCAACCAACAGATCGAAAATATTTCTTTAAATGTTACATTGTTGCTGACGTGCATTGATTTTTTTCCTTGTCATTATTACCTAAACAATGTAACAACTATCTACATCATATTAGGCATTATAAGTAAAGTGGAGATTACTTAAAGTATAAGGGAGAATGTGCTTAGGTTGTGTGAAATACTATACCATGGATGTCTGGAAACCAATCCCCCAGAGGCACTAAAGGATGACTGTATAAGCTGCTGCAGGGCAACCAACAACACGCCTGGAAAACTGCAGCACCTTTTAAGCGAATGGCCATCTGAGATTTTGCTTGATTACTGAGTCTTTTCTATCTCCATCTGGTCTTGTAGTGTAGCAGTTTTCAAAAGGTGTGCCACAAGAATTTTGAAAACATAATACCTGACTATTTAGTCAGGGGCACTGACCTCTTTCCCCTTAGATTTTCAAATAAAAAAATGATGCCCGGCCGGTGTGGCTCAGTGTATAGAGTGTCATCCCATGGACTGAGAGGTTCCAGTTCCATACCTGATCAGGACACATGCCGGGGTTGCTGGCTCCATCCCCAGTGGGTGGCGTGCAGGAGGCAGCCAAGCAATGTATCTCTCTAACATCAGTGTTTCTCTCTCTCCCTTCCTCTCTCTCAAAAAAAAATCAATAAAGACATTTTTAAAAAAAATGATAACAGCCAACACAACAGCCATCCAATGTGAATGAATCAAAATTATACTGATTTTTTTATCATATAGGCTAAACATATATTTTGGGGTGTGCTGCAGAATTTCAGTAACTAGTTTATGTGTGCATTGAAATAAATTTTAAAAAGGTCAAAAATTACTGTTGTAGTGCAATTCTGCCCTGTCCTGAATTCCTGGTGCTTTCAAATAAAAAATGTGATCAATATTATTTGAGCTTTAAAATCTGAGTATTACTATGCAGCAGCTTGAGTTCTTCTGAAGAAAGTTGCCACATGAACTGAACACATTTTTTGTTTTGTTTTGTTAAACTTCACCCAAGGATATCTTTCCATTGACTTTTTAGAGAGAATAGAAGGAAGGAAGGGAGGGAGGGAGGAGAAGAGAGGTTGGAGGAGAGAGAGAAACATCGATGTGAAAGAGACACATCAACTGGTTGCCTCCCACACACCCCAACCAGGGCCGGGATCAAACCTGCAACCCAGGCATGTGCCCTTGACCAGGAATTGAACCCAAGAACCTTTGGATTGTGGGCAGCTGCTTTAACCACTGAGCCACATCAGCCAGGGTTAAACTTAATACATTTTAACATCTGCACTAGTAGTTCTGTTACTATAAACATGAAAGTTATTGTTTCAGTACAGAAATACCAAAATGGAATAGATATACTTTATTTTTTCTTTTCTCTGCCTTGTCACCTCTGAGTATAGCCCAGGGCATGTCTGTCTTTTTGGTTTGGGGTTTTTTTTTTGCACTTATCCTTAGATAGAGCAGGAGGAAGAGAGGGAAGGAGGGAGAGAAACATGGATGCGAAAGAGCCACATCGAGTGGTTGCCACCCACATGACCCCAACCAGGGCTGGGTACAAACTGCAACTGAGGCATGTGCCCCCAGCGGGAACCGAACCTGGGACTCTCTGGTCCACGGGCCGATGCTCTAACTGCTGAGCCAAACCGGCCAGGGCAGGGCATGTCTGTCTTAAGGGACCCTACCTCAAAACTCAAGAGTTTCAGTCACGCCCTGGCCGGTTTGGCTCAGCGGTTAGAGTGTCAGCCCGCGGACTAGAGTTTCAATCACATGTTTTCAAACCAAGTCAAAGTTCATTTGACAACACCCCCTGACTCCTTGGACAATGGAAGATAGTCTATTGTCCCTTAAGTACTTAGATGTTCAACACAGTGTTCATCAAGAGTCATGGTTTTTAAAAAGAGAAAAATAACTCTTAGGATTCAATTTGAAGCTAAATGTCACTCAGATATTAGAAACAAAGATCTCAGCAACAAAGACTATAACAACAAAATATTTTACATTGTTTCCAAATTGTACCCAAAGATCAAACATCCCTCAAATCTATTTCCTTTCTCCCCATCACTGTTGATCCTTCTCATCTCTGCCCATTCCAATCCATTCTATACACCGTTATCAGAGTTCTTGTACTAAATCACAATTGTTTCACTCACTATCCTGCTTAGAAAATTTTAATGGTGGTCCCATTAATATGTAGGGTCATACTCCAACTTCACCCTGGCCAGTTATGGCTATCAACCTTGCCTTCACCACAATGAACTGTTCACTAACTGTGACCCAAGTACATCTTGTACGTTCCCACCTTTGACTGCCCATCGACCTGTTCTCTGACACACTTCTACTCATATTTCAAAAACCCAGTTCAAATGTCACCACCTCCTTCATGAAGCCTTCCTGACTCCCACCCAAATCCATCTCTTCTGGCCCTGTGAATATGTCACTCTACTTCATTCACCCCAATGTATTGTAATCACTATGGTTTCTCCATCTTCCCAAATGAAACTGAGCTCCTCAAAGAAAGAGTCCACATCATTATAAATCTGTATCACCAGGACATTCCAATGCCACTGGGTAGCAGGCCCACTGGGTACTCAAAGCATATTTCTGAAATGAAAATGAAACACATTAGTGTTTCAACCGGGCTTTCAGCCCTTAGTTTTATGACTGGAGAACTAAAATTCGTCAAAGTAAATGTTGTTGTGCACTATGTAGTTAAGCCTACAATAGTTGCATCTGTACTGAACTAAGCATTCTTGTCTCCACCCCCACATACTCGGTTACATACTGTTGTACTAAGAATTAGCATGTGAAATTGAGCTCCATGGTGCAATTCTTTTGGAAGCTGGAGCCACTAAGATACAAGTATTACCTCAACCATAACTGGATGGCTAACCTCAGAAAGCCTTGTTTAACAGAAATTGCTAACAGGGAAGGGCTCCTCAGACCATATCCCAACATTAACTGAAACTGAGACCAAAGTTCAGGTACCAAAGACATCCTTATAGAAGGATGCTGGATTTTAGTCCTCCGGGTGTCTCCCTTCTAATCTCCAACAGGGCATACTGAAAAAACAGGTGTACAATGGCTGTCTTGAAAATAATGAAGCTAAGAAAGATGTTCCCTTTAACTCACTTAGAAAAATCAGAAACCAAAGCTCTCCCTGTAATTTTTAATCCTATTATTTCAACCCTAATTCCTCATTTTATTTTTACCAAATACATGTACAGTTAAAACCTTAACAATAAGGTAATACTGTCTAAAGTGGAATAAATCATTTTGGAACTCTACTCGCTTACCTCTTTTCTCCACAATGTGTCTTTAACCCCCATACCACATACACATGCTGTCAGAATCTGCGTCAACAGCATATAGGTTAAAAAGAAAAGTGAAGGAAACTGAAGAGAAAACTTGAAGTGCAGCTTTAAGTGCAATATTCTTTCGGGCAGCAAATACTCACTGTGTGTTAGTGCTGTGTGTCATATGCTGCCTGAGCACAGGGGATAATGAACAAAACAACCCCTGTCCTCCTGGAGCCTAAGTCCAGTGGAGAACAGAGCTTTTCTTTTCTTTTTTTTTAATTTTATTTTTGTTACAGATGTTTCTCCTTTTTTACCCCACTGACCCCATCTTCCCCACCCCACCCCCCAACCCTTCCCCGGCTTTGTAGTCCATGTCCATTGGTTATACATACATGCATATAAGCTCCGTGGTTTATCTCTTCCCAGCCCCCACCACCCCCTCTTCTGAGAGCTATCAGTCTGTACCCTACTTCCGTGTTTCTGGGTCTACCCTATTCCTCAGACTATTATATTCATTATATTCCGTATATAAGTGAGATCATGTGGTATTTGTCTTTTTCTGCTTGGCTTGTTTCACTTAGGATAATACTTTCCAGGTCCCTCCATGTCGTCTCAAAGGATAAGAGATCTTTCTTTCTTACAACTGCATAGTACTCCATGGTGTATATGTACCACTGCTTTTTTATCCATTCGTCTACTGATGGACACTTGGGCTGTTTCCAGATCTTAACTATTATAAATAGTGCTGCTATAAACATGGGGGTACATATATTCTTTCTGATTGGTGTCTCAAGCTTCTTAGGGTATATTCCTAGAAGTGGGATCACTGGGTCAAATGGAAGTTCAATTTTTAATTTTTTGAGGTAACACCACATTGTTTTCCATAGTGTCTGCACCAGTCTGCATTCCCACCAGCAGTGCACTAGAGTCCCCTTTTCTCCACACCCTCGCCAACACTTGTTTGATGATTTGTTGATGGTGGGAGAACAGAGCTTTTCAAACAAATAATTAGGTGAGCCCAGGGAGGGCTGGCAGATTCAGGATCATGATTACAAAAACTGCGGCAGCTTCAGCAGAGACCTGAAGGCTGTGCAAACAAGCCTTGCTGTCGCCATCACCCCAAACACCATGTACAGCTCTGTAACCTCATTTGAAGTCTGCAAGAACACCCTTAGAGTAAGAAGCCTTCCAGAAATTTAACATAGTTCTGAGAGCCAGTTTTCTATAACCATATCAAACAATTTTTCATAGTTCAAAAGACAAAATACAGTCATGTTTCACACAATGATGTCAACGACAGATCATATATGATAGTAGCTCCATTGCCACCTAGTGACATCATAGCCGTCGTAATGTCAACATCAGGTCTGTGGTGATGCTGCACAACCATTCTATAAAAGCACAGCACATGCAGTTACAGTAGTAAGTTATACCATCTAGGTTTGTGTAAGTGTGCAGGATGATGTCTGCACAATGATGAAATCGCCTAATGACACATTTTTCAGAATGTATCACCACTGTTAAGTGGCACATGACTGTACAATGAATCCCACTTGAGTTTGTCTTCGATCCTTGAAAGCAGCAAAATAAATCAATAAATGTGCCTAACACTTACCACATAATAAAATCGTTTTGCGAGGGTATGTATGAATATTATTTTGGCTAGAGCAGCAGTTCCATAAAGACAAACGGAGACATAGAAGTGGTTATACCATGACAAAGACTGTCCAATCAGAGAGACGAACACTGCTATTATGAGAACGGTCACCAGGCTAGTGAACCAGCTTATCAGAGTGATGCCAAGTCCACAGAAGAAGTCCTTCATGTAGTTAGCCACTGATGAAGAGAAAACACAATGTGGAGACCACCATTTTTATCAAACAATTTCATAACCAATCAGAGGTAAAGAGGCAAACATTAAAAAATAAAATGTACCATGTAATTGAAAAGTATTGAAATGGCCCAAGGATAAGGTTTGTTAAATACTAGAACAGGGAAGGTATTAATGAATAACATTCAAGTAACATTTACCGACAGTCTGTGGGTACTAAAGACTCAAAGAGATAAGGCTTCCAGGAATAGTTGAGATATATTCCTGATTGTGGAAGTGGGTAGTCTTAATCTTCATCCCTTTGGAATACTTTGTGTATCAAAATATCAGCAAGAATGGAAGACAAAGTTCCACATGAGGACTTGCTAAAAGAAGCTACCGCAGGAAAAGAACGAGCACAGGAAATAACTGATGATAAAGAATTATTTAAATTAACTGCTAAATGTTTCACCTTGTAATAGCACATACCAGCTTAGACTATAAAACATTTCAAGTAAAAGGGGACCAATTTAACTAGCAGCAGTTCATTCATACTTCAGAATAGTGTGCTATTGGTCTATAGTATAGACAAGGTGTTTCAATGGGACTTTTCACTAAAAGTCAATCTATACAAACTATTTTTCAATAGCTCCTATGTGGTACTTCTATGGAGTGCTTAAGTACATAAAAATTGCCTGCTTCACCAAGACTAAAAGTATAATGAGTATATTAATCTGTTATTCATTTAGAAGTATCTTACAATATAAATCAAACATTATTTTTCTTAGGACTTTTAACATCTTGGAAAGATACAAGCAAACTGACTAAAAACTTCAGGCACATACTGTACCCATGCCAGTACTGCCGTTCTAGGGGAAAGTACTTACTCTTATGTTTGGGCTGCAGAAATTTTTTGCCCAGGTAAAAGACAGCAGCCATTACCACCATGTAGTTAATTATGGAGCCAACACGAGAAGGGTAGGCAATGACAAAGAGGCCAAGCACATCAAAGAAGACCATGTTCCCATGTCGATACTTAGAAGAAGAAACCAACATATCAGATGTAGCTAGATATTTAAGAACTCCTAAAATGTTGTCACCTATTAGTAAAGAAAAGAAAGATAAAGTTGAATAAACCAACTGGTGTCCGAGCAAAGTTATACCTAGAAATAATGTGATAAGAAACAGCACTCTACCACCTTATTGCTCTATCCTACTTTTCTTACTAAGTTTTTCAAATAAGCTTCAAGCTCCTACTCTGTTTCCTCTCCGTTTAGAAACTCAGCCAACTAGCCTTCATCCTTTCCTATCTCTTAGAACTATTCTCTGATCAGTCGTACCGTCACTGCTGACAAACTCCACAGTTGTTTCTTAGTGCCTATTCATTTACTATATAGTTAACGCAGCAGATGCTGCTGCTGCTCTAAATACCAAAATTCAGTGGTGAGCCAAGAGACAAGGCCTCTCATGAGTCACTAATTTACTAAGAATTAATAAGGAATGTCAATTATATCTGAATAAAAATAATTAATAAGGACAGGTACTAACATTCCCCATGAGCATATTATTGGAGACTAATGGAGTTTGGGAAGTCAGAGGAGCAACCCCAAGAAGTGATATTTACAGCTCACTACAATGGGGGACAGTGTCCAGTCTGAGAACTGCATCGATGAAGGACCTGAGGAGGGAAAGTTCCAAATACAGAAACAAAAGTCATGAATGAGGAGAGAGATTATTCAGCAATGATGGGGAAAATCATTACAGACAGCACCTAGCACATTAGAGGTCTGTAATGAATATTTTTTATATCAGTGAATGAATGAAAGAGCTTTAACACAGGAGCAATAAAAAGCCTTGAATGATTAGGCCTTTCCTCCTGTTGTTCATCCCATCCTTGACTTTCTCTTCTTTTAGCTTAAGACACCACACTGTCTGACCACAGAATTTCTTACACTGGCTCCCCTGCCTCCCTAAGAATGTGTTAAGCTCAGGTTTAGTCCTTACCTTTGCTTTGCTCTTCCAAAAAACATTTCCATTCTCTACACTTTTTGTGGTATGCTCAAATTCCCAAACCCATAGACCAAGTTCTGAAAGAGCTCTACCACTGTATCTATATTTTCATCTGGTCAGTTCACAGACACCCTCAGTCTTATATGTCTGACACACTCATGGTTTCCATGCCGCTCTGCTCTGGATGAGGGTCACCTTCCCACATACCTGCTATAGTCAATGGCATTCTCTCTCCCTAGCCAGGTAGGCTTAATACTTTGCAATCATCTTTGCTGCCATCCATTTGATTCAACCCTTCTAACTTGTCAAGTCTTGTTGAATTTACATTCGAAATGTATCTAATTTTCCATCCCTCACCTTTCCTTTCTATCTTTTGTCAACACCACAGTCTAGGTCCTCATTATTCCACACTTAAGTTATTGTCTCCTGGCTTAAATTACCTGACTCATCGCTCTCCCCACCTTCCACCATCCACTCCAGACAGCATCATGAGACTAACAGCATTTAAAGAGCATGTAAAGCCATCATTCGTTCATGTACTCAGGCCTTTAATGGTTCCTTATTTCTATGGCATCTTCCTGCTGATTTTACAAACCTCCTACTATTTTCTCTACCCCTACACCTCATTTCCCTCTATTTCTGAAAATATAACTTCCACTACACTGTAGTCTGACAATCTACTCACCAACAACCACCACCCCCAACACACAAATACACCCTACCTATACTATGTTCTTTCTTGGAACATACTCTCCACTGGGCCAAATCCTACCAACTCTTTAAGGCTCAGCATCAGACTCCCCTCCCCTGATTACTCCACCTCTCTCTGGAGAGCACTTAACTCTCTTGCCCCTGTGTTGCCCTGATACATGTCCTGTAACCCTCTCACCAGTCCTCACCACCCAACCTTCGATCGAGTAACTTTTCTCCCCCTCGGCAAGCTGCCCAAATGCATTGGTGCCACCTCCAGTGTACAGCTTCCATTTTGGCTACATTCTCGTCACTCGGCAATCCTACTAGAGCCCTGGGTCAACGCCCTTTCCAATTTCCACAATGAACAATCGTATGCTCTTAATTGTTAAACTAGACTTCAAGGCTAAACTTTAAGCCCTCACATCTCTAACACCAAAGCCCCAGCTCATTCATACCATACACTGCCTCCCAAATGCTTAGGCCACAAAATATTTATAGATTTACAGGTCATCTCTAATATTCCATCTTACCATATATGAAAAGTCTGAATTAGAATAAAATCATCTCTAATATTCCATCTTACCATATATGAAAAGTCTGAATTAGAATACCAACCTGCTCTCTGAATGGAATCTGTTAGAATTCTGTCCGCTGTGTCATATTTGGTATGATAAATGTATCCATTCTCAATAAAAGCCAAGTCTATTCCTGAAACATATATTTAAAAGAGGTCATTTTGCTTTAAAGATCAACCTTGTTTTAGGCCTATTTGTTTAATGTATTAAATTTTTAAAAGACAAAATGTCAAAGCAGTGGCATGATTGCTTTGTCACAGTTTTGGAAGCAATTCTCTCCCAAATTCTTACAGAATCTATAGCTGTGGCACATAATTCAATACAGGAGTGAGGGAAGTTTACTACTGCACATTACAAGGTGCACAGCAAGGAGTAGGAATACTGAGCTTGGGAGGTCATCAAAACTTTGCCATCTATCAGAGCCAAATTTTAACTTCAAATAAGCTGTACAATCTACCAAGGGTGTTGGCAAAGCTAAATAGCAATAAAAAGTCAAAGAGCCTGCCTGGCCAGTGTGGCTTACTGGTTGAGCGTCAACCCATGCACCAAGAGGTCGCCAGTTCGATTCCCGGTCAGGGCACATGCCCAGGTTGTGGGTGCAATCCCCAATACAGGACATGCAGGAGGCAGCCAATCGATGTTCTCTCATCGATGTTTCTCTCTCTCTCCCCCTCTCCCCTCATATCTAAAATCAATAAAATAATAAAAAGTCAAAGAGCCCTGAAAGATCTGTTACCATCTTTTGGGAATGAACTGCTAAACAGTTCTTCTCTGTTCTTTTGTCACACTGTGGGGCAAGATGAAATGTGCTAAAAAAGCAAGCATTTAAACTAGATCAGGGTTTAAAAAGGAAAGGAAAATATCAGGAACTTAGTTTTAGTGAGGCAGAATACACAGCTCTCACATAGAGAATGTGCTCTCAGAAAATGCTGTTTATTCACAAACTTCCAAATGTAAAACTTGCTACTAATTAAGCATTGTCACCCAATAGCCCATAACAACGGACAAAACACCTGGAATGTTTCCAAAATCCCTGTAGATACGGAAATCAGTATCTGAAGGAATGATGCCACTCTGAAAAACCTCCTGGGCCACCACAGAAGCAAAAGGGTGTTTAGCTGCTGAAACATAAGCTTGGACCAACCAAGGATTTTCAGGACCTGAAATGAAACATGACACACAAGGTTAATATGTTAATTTTTTAACATACTAATTTTTTTGTTGTTGTTGTTAATTCTCACCTGAAGGTATTTTTCCACTGATTTTCAGAGAGTGGAAAGGAAGGAGAGGGAGAGAGAGAGAAACCTCAATGCAAGATAGACACATTGATTGGCTGCCTCTCACATGACCCCCACCAGGATCAAACTTGCAACCCAGGTACATGCCCTTGACCAGAATCGAACCCACAACCCTTGGTTCCATGGGCCAACGCTCTAACCGCTGAGCCAAACTGGCCAGGGTAACTTACTAATTTTTTAAGCACACCTAAAATAGTTACTGTGGTGGTTTAAAAGAAAGATCCAGAGAAGGTTTATTTTTTAAATCATTTTCTTCTGTATTTTCCTACATTTCTCTAGTAAATGTGTATGACTTTTAGAATGAAAAATAGCCCTAGGCGGTGCTGTTCAGTGGTTAGAGAGTCAGCCGGCACACCAAAGGGTTACGGGTTCAATTCTCAGGCAAGGGCATGTACCTGGGTTACAGGTTTCATCCCTGGCACTGGTTGGGGCCCATGCAGGAGGCAACCAATCGATGTGTCTCTCTCACATCAATGTTCCTCTCCCTCTCTCTTCCCCCGACTCCCTTCCACTCTTTCTAAAAAAATTAATGGGAACAATATCCTCAAGTGAGGATTAACAGAAAGAAAAATAAATAAGTAAACAGAATGAAAAATAACCTTTCAGAAAATAGAATTATTTTGTATTATAAAATAACACTATAAAGAGTTTGTTTAAAAATGAAAAACCACTCTAAAGTTCCTCGTCTTAAGATAAATGATCATTTTCATATTTTCAATTTTCAAAAAAATGTATGACTGTGTACATAGCTATACTCATAGTATATATACCCTCTGTACATTGCTCTTTCACATAACATTATATAAGCTGAATGCATCTTTTCAATGTGCTAGATATTATACTGGTCATTTTCATAACTGCAAAGCACTGAATTATACCATAAAGTCCCTTATTACTCATTTATAATTTTATAATTTTTATCATTAATAATTCTACACTAATATCTTCATGCATACACATCTTGTTTTCAAATGTGGCAGTCTTCTCTTTAGTATAGTGAGATAACTTGTATTATTATTCCCAATTATTCACTCCTCCCTCCCATATAACTTGTTAATGGCCTTCCTGTGGAAACAGCACATATACTTCTTCACCCTGTTCACTGCAGGCTTGGCCACATAGATTGCTTTGACAGATAGACTGTCAATGGGAGACATGAACTTCAACCATAAAGACTTTTAGAAGCCATCACATGGTCCATCCCTCTCATTAACTTTGGCCATGAGATCAATACATCCTTGATCGAGGCTTCTCCTTTAGCCTGGATCCCAGAATGAATAAGATACATGGGCCCTGGCCAGTGTGGCTCAGTGGTTCCAGGGTCGTGGGTTCGATTCCCAGTCAAGGGCATGTACCTGGGTTGCAGGGTTTTTTTTTGTTTATCCTCACCCGATGACATTTTTTGATATTTTGTTTAGATAGAGTGGGAGGGAGGGAGGGAGAGAGAGAGAGAGAAAGAAACATCGATATGAAGGGGACACATCGAGTGGTTGTCAGCCACATGACCCAACCAGGGCCAGGGACAAACCGCAACTGAGGTATGTGCCCTTAGCGGGAACCGAGCTGGGGTCTCTCCAGACCGGAGGCCAACGCCCTAACTGCTGAGCCAAACTGGTCAGGGCGGGTTGCAGGTTTGACACCCGGCCCCAGTCAGGGCTGTGTAAAAGGCAACCAATCGATGTGTCTCTCTCACATCGATGTCTCTCTCTCCCCCCCTCCCCCTCTCTCTCTCCCTCCCTCCCTTCCACTATCTAGAAATCAGTGGAAAAAAATATCCTCAGGTAAGGATTAAAAAAAAAAAAAGGCACATGGAACATAAAACCATGAAACATAACTGCAGTTATCCAGGAACCAAAATATAACATGAGGAAGAAATAAGCCTTTGCTATTTATAATAACCCACTGAGATTCACGGGCTGTTTGGTACAATAAAATTTAGCAAAAAGTTGACTAATGTAGACAGATAAAGTAATTGTATTTCAGAGAACCTAACACTATGAACACTTTAATAACTCTATAAATCAAACTGCTTTCCTACAGAATAAAATGGCCACACAAGAAGGGAGGAAGATGTAGAGAAACACTGTGGAACCAGTTACCCAGGTGACCCAGATACTGTGGTTACCAGACACAGATTCTTAAATAACTATGATTAATATGTTTGAAAACACAGATACACAGATGATAAGATTTTCACATCCTGGTCAGGCAGCTCAGTTGGCTACAGCATTATCCTGATATGCCAAGGTTACGGGTTAAACCCCTGGTCAGGGATATACCAGAATCAACCAATGAACCCTGGCTTGTGTGGCTCAGTTGGTTGAGTGTTGTCCCAGGCACTGAGAGATCACCGGTTCAATTCCCAGTCAGAGCACATGCCTGGCTTGTGGGCTCAATCACTAATAGAGAGTGGCAGGAAGCAGCTAATTGATGTCTCTCCCTCTCCTTTCCCCTCTAAAATCATATTTAAAAAAAAAAAAAAACAACCAAAATGCATAAATAAGTGGAGCAACAAATCAATGTCTTTATCTTCTCTCTCTCTCTCAAAATCAATAAATAAAATATAAAAAAAGAATTTTGACAGACAAGTGCAAACTCTTTTTTAAAAGAATCAAATGAAAACCCTAGAACTGGAAATCAAAATAACTGATGCTAAGAATTTTAATAGATGGTTTAATAACAAGGCTAAACACAGCAAAAGAAAGGATTATAGATCAACAGAATTAAAACACAGAAATAAAAAAGGATGGAAATAAGTATGAGAGACATATGGGATACAGTAAAAAAAGTCTAACATATGACTAACTGGAGACAGAATGAGGCAGATCAATGTTTAAAGAAATAATGGCCAATAATTTTCCAAAACTCACAGAAAATATAAAGCTTCAAATTCAAAGAACTCTACAAACCCCAAACAGAATGAATATAAAGATAAAACACACAGCACCAAGACCATTGCTTTTGAATGCCATTGTCGACTAAAAGGAGTAGATTCCCTTAGAGAAATGGCTAGCTCCAGACCTGAGGCTAGGAAAATACAAGATAAGTCAGAACATCTTGTGCGGAAAGCAAGAAAGTGCTCAAAGGAACATGTCAGAGAAATGTCAAAAGGTCTCAGGCACCAGGTGAAGGTGCTGCCTTTGGTCTAAACTAGAACAATCCATGCATGAAAATGATATAAACAATACATAATCTACAAAACAAAATAAAAATACTGAAATAAATACACAAATAAAGAAGAATAGGAAGCATTCCTTCTAGAATTCCAACTATTAACTATAGATGGAATGATGGAGCTAGAAAACTCAGCATCTGGCTAACGTTACGGTAAAAATGCTTCGGGACGAGGATAAATGATTGCTAAAAGTAGGATCCAAGTTTCATGAGAAACGGGATATTTAGTTTCAAAGTACCTATTACAAAAAGTAAAACAGTAATTTTACAAAGTAGAAAAACGTAGCAAAAGCCATAATTAAAGGCTCAAAAGTTAATGTCATCACGAATCAGACATCACGTGATGATGGGGAAACAGACTTTAAAAACATCATGTTAATGCCCTGGCCGGTTTGGCTCAGCGGTTAGAGCGTCGGCCTGCGGTCCGGAGAGACCTGGGTTCGGTTACCGCTAAGGGCACGTACTTCGGTTGCAGTTTGTCCCCGGCCCTGGTTGGTCGTGCGGTGGCAGCCACTCGATGTGTCCCTTTCACATCGATGTTTCTCTCTCTCTGTCTCTTCCTTTCTCTCCCTCCCACTCTATCTGTACAAAAAATGGAAAAATGTCCTCGGGTGAGGATAAAAAAAATAAATAAATAAAAAGAAAAACATCATGTTAAAATACTAGTATTAAAATAATAAAATTAAATATTAATAATTAAAATTATACTATTAAAACCATATTGAAAGACACATAAAGCTCAACTATGAAGGAAATAAAGTATAAAAACCAAAATAATCGAAATAATGGCTACTCTTAGGTAAGTGGTAGGGTGCTGTATTTGAGAAGAAGCAGGTGGGAGGCTGTAGTAAGTCTATTCTCTTTCATGAAAGGAGGTTAAAGGGGTACTCACCTGACAATAATTAAGTTTACACATTCATGGTTTTGTAATATATCTGATAAAATCTAATAATTACATGCTATGTTTGATCCTGAATTAGAACTCAGATTAAAAAACTACTAGGACATTACTGGAACAACTGGAGAAATCTGAATATTCACTGTTCATCAGATAATAGCTTTATATTAATGTCATATTTCTTGAGTGCTTTAAAGGTACTTGTATGAAGAAACATATCTTTGTTCTTTATCTTCTGAGATGATTATGGTGAGATGATTCTTCTCCTTAACTGCGATAATGTGGTGAATTATAGACTGATTTTCAAATATTAAGCCATCTTCATTTACCATTCAGTAAAGTTTCAGGACATAAAATCAATATATAAAAATGAGTTGCGCCCTGGCCGGTTTGGCTCAGCGGTTAGAGCGTCGGCCTGCGGTCCTGAGAGACCCAGGTTCGGTTCCCACTAAGGGCATGTACCTTGGTTGCAGTTGGTCCCCGGCCCTGGTCGGTCGTGCGGGTGGCAGCCACTCGATGTGTTCCTTTCACATCGATGTTTCTCTCTCTCTCTCCGTTCCTCTCTCTCCCTCCCACTCTATCTGAGCAAGGAATGGAAAAATGTCCTCGGGTGAGGATAAAAAAAAAAAATAAAAAAAATGAGTTGCACCCTGGCCGGTTGCTCACTGGTTAGAGCATTGGCCAGAGGACCCGAGAGTTCCGGGTTCAGTTCCCACTAAAGACACATACCTCGGTTACAGTTTGTCCCCGGCCCTAGTTGGGGTTATGCAGGTGGCAACCACTTGATGTG